TCAATGAAATGTATGAAAGAAACAAATCTAGACAAGCGGACAGTAGTATAAGGACCCCAGGCTGTGATTTATTATATTTTTAGAAATTATCATTTAAACTATTATTTTTTACCTTAGAGTATTTTTTAGCAATATTCCAGGGTTGGGGATACCAGAAAAGGGTTTCACACAGTGCACCCAACGTCTGGCGAATCAAAACCGGTGTAGCAGCCCAGAATAACCCCCCACCAGATTATACCAGTGTTTAATTGTGTGAGAAGTACAATAAAATTATAGTAGTATCCTTAATCACTTGTTTTCTGTAGGGGTATAATCTGGGCTAGGGGGGGGTATACTATAGCCTAGTTCAGAATATACCCCAGGGTATAAACTAGGCTAGCCCAGATTATACCTGGGGTATAGTCTTGGCTAGCCCAGTTGAACCCCGGGTATAGTCTGGAACAGGGGTATACTCTGGCCTGTTACACCGGGTCTTTGCGTGACAGGCGAACCATTAACCACCACTCTACCCCACCACCATACATTAAACAGGAGCTCTGGTGAGGTCACATAGTCGGAAACCTTTGGAAACTCTAGACGTGCTCCATTTAGGGCATAGCATTACTGCAAGGGCTAGTAAGTGCTACTGTATGTATGAGCCCATTGGTGTGAAACGTCTTCTTTGTGTCAGTCGTACACCAAGACGTTGGTACCTAAGGCTCGGTGTTTGGAAATGTCTGTTGGCTAACGTTCCAGAAACCATATACGTATTATATTGAAACCTCAATGTTTATGCATATTGTAGCGCCCTATTCATAAATCTCCTTTCCATCTCCGCCAATGCAAGTTAGGAGTTCCAAACAGCAAATAGCAACTCGCGGAACAGTAATTCTCTCAATTATTAACATTATGTAGGGAATTAATTTGTGCGTATTTCGTACGGTAACGGCTGCAGCCTTATGACCGGTTTGTGAAAGATAGCGGAATCTGCCGAAGATGTCCGGAAATCAGATATCATGGTTTTGAGCGTAATCTGCACACTAATTACATAATCCGTCACTTTCTAAGTATTATTAATGTACCACATTGTATATTTAATATGAAAAGGTCTCATTTGTATACTTATAGAGTAAATCAACCTCGAAACAGATTTTATAACGCAATGAGTTATCAAGACACAAGTTTCAGAATTGTGCGAGAAAAGGACGGTTTATATAGGCGAGTGAGACCACCACTATCGGAGCGTGTGTCTGGTTGACACTTCTGAACATTGATCGCTGATAAATTCCGGCTGATCTGTCCAGTCAAGCTGTCCCGTTTGGTACACGTTCTATAAGCGTGGGGCTCCCGATGCCTGGCGCTCGGTGGAGTTCCGTTCAAAATTGGCCTCGCTGTAAAGCGCAGCGCCCTAGGGTTTACCGGTCCACTCTGGCTTCTGAATTTCTAAAATGGGAAGTTGGGGGTTCTCAACACTGATTTGTGACGCTCCAATACGGCACTGCAAGTGGCAGTCTGCCAGACTTTTTACCAAAAGAGCTATATTACTTAATTGTTTAATGCCACCTTTCACTTTTTATGTATGTTTGAACATCTTGTTTTCACAGATTATAAAGTATTTAACACTGGGATCAATGAACAAATTGGCCGGTGTGGTCTGCTCGTTGACCCATTTTTTGTCACGTAGACGCACACATCTCTGAGAGTGATATCTATTGTGTTGGATCTGATCACTGTGGCAATTACATATACTGAACAAGAATGAAACTTTCCGTATCAGTAAAAGACATAATAGTTAGTGACTGAGGTTTGAGCAGTATTTCACTTACCTTATGTCAGCTTGATGTTGGAGGGAGGCCGGAAGTGACGTTGGTCTGTGACGTTTACGTCTTCTGTGACCCGTGAAGGTCCAGGTTAGAATATTGATCTTTAGTAACCCATGCTTGTAAGAGGCGACTAACGGGATCGGGTGGTCAGGCTCGCTGACTTGGTTGACACATGTCATCCGTTTCCAATTGCGCAGATCGATGCTCATGCTGTTGATCACTGGATTGTTTGGTCCAGACTCGATTATTTACAGACTGCCGCCATATAGCTGGAATATTGCTGAGTGCGGCGTAAAACTAAAATCACTCACTGACGTTTTCTGTTAAACCCATGAACAAGGGTGTGGTGCTGACAAATTTACTAGTCAGGCCACACATTCTTCAGCCAAGTCTTACAACAATGTACCGTATTTCCTTTTCAACGGACTTCCAGACCCAGCGCTTATTAGAGGTCTGGCGCTTATTGGAGACCCGACGCTTATTGAGATATGTGGCACCTTTAGGAATCCCAACTTAAAAGACGCCTCTCAAATGAAACGATTACATAACATCCATTAACCCGTGCCATTTGGGGGACAGGAAGTTATGACTAAAGGGACCATTCCTTAATATATCTGTCCAGCTCTCATTGTAGTCAATATCAACCCCGGCGCTCAAAGGTCGTGGTATGTCTCCAGGTCTCATTGTAGTCAATATCAAACATAAAGGCCGTGTTTGTTAAACGCCGCAAAATTCAAAACTAAAATAGTCGGATCGGGACCATACAATCTCATGATCAATATTGTGAACAGCGATCAAAGCAACGTGACACGTAATGAACTGAATTTTCATTTGATAATCTCCCTGGGGACCTATATTCTAAAACGACCGCAACCCACCCCTACCCCTTACCTCACACACACACGGTATACCTTGTCACTTGCAATGTGATGGAACATTTATATACTAAGCAGCAAAGGAAACGTCAGTTTGAAATTTTTTCCTTCGCAGAAACTGATAACTGTAAACTCATTTAATGTTTTGATTGTATATTGTTGACATCATCTCCAACTTTACCTGAGCAAAGACATTCTGAGTTTGCTCAGAATGGAACCCAGGAAATGGTCTCAAAAACGCAACCTGATCTCGGAGATGGTACGGTGTTCTCCATGTTTTTCATACAACTCATGCTGCACGTGCTGTTCACAAGGACCAGCCCTATAAAATGCACCCCAAACCTGGTTGAAACATTCACATTACAACGTCAGCAGGATGCCCCTTCTCACGACAGCTCAGAGGAACCAGGCGCAAGGAAGACTTGAAGCTGGCCACACTGCACAAGCCGTTGCCAATCACTTCCAGGTCAACGTTTGGACCATCTACAGGCTGCAGCAAAGTTTCCGGGCCAACAACACTACAAATGATCGCCCCCGTACTGGCAGACCAAGGGTGACCACAAGACGACAAGACCGCCATGTTGTGCGACAGCATGTACAGAATCCCTTCGTGCAGGCATCCGAAACAGCACGCCAGACAGTGGGAACACACGGAAGACCAATCAGTACTGATACAGTACGCCGACGTCTTAACAGCGGGAACCTCCTTAGACCTTACCGTGGACCTATCCTCACCCTTTGTCATCGGCGTGAACGTCTACAGTTTGCCCTACAACACCAAAACTGGCGATACAGGCAGTGGAGAACTGTTCTGTTCACAGATGAGAGTCGGTACTGCGTATCAACTGCAGATGGCAGAACAAAAATATGGCGTCGACGTGGCCAGCGTTACTAAGACCAATGTGTTATGGAAAGAGACTTATGGGGAGATGCAAGCATCATGGTATGGGGTAAAATAGGCCTGAACCAGAGAGTGGGTCCTGTGGTGTTCCAGAACCTTGGTCCAAGGAGAGGAGGCGGAATCACAGCGGTGCGCTACATCGACCAAGCTCTCAGACCCCACGTCATACCACATTTCGCACGTCACCGGAACAACATTTTCCAGCATGCTAACGCCCGGGCCCATACTGCCAGAGCTACACGGGACTTCCTACAGCAGAACGGTGTCAACATTATGCAGTGGCCAGCCCTTAGTCCTGATTTAAACCCAGTTGAACATCTTTGGGATGAAATTCAGAGAAGACTGAATAATGTCATACCAAGGCCGAACACAGCCGATTTATTGCGCCAGGCCTTTCTCAGAGTATGGTTCAAGGTGCCAATGGCCTTCATCAATCGATTGGTGTACTGTGCTGCAGTTATTGCCGCTCGTGGTGGTCACACTAGATACTGAAGTCAAGAGTCTGAATGGACTGCAAACGTTCACGTAATGTCTTGAAATTGTGCTGAGTTATTCATTGATGTATCAAGATATTGTACACAAAAAATGTTTTTGATCCGCTTATTATGTCCATTTCTGTAATGATTTGATTGCAGTGCCTATATAATTTTGAATTCGTACTGACGTTTGTTTTGCTGCTGAGTATATTTAGTGATGATATTTATTTTGCAACATGAAGTATGCCGTTATAGTCAGATTGTGAAATCAGTCATTTCGTGAAATACGTAAGATGGTCAGCGATTCAACTATCCCACCTGCTCAATCTCTTTCTCCTGGGTTAACCTTTGCATTCTCTCTGTGTGATTTTATGTGCAGTGATATTGCAGTGTTGGAAAGGCCATTTATACTGATTTTTCGTACGATCTTTCCCATGTATCCGACTAAGACATGTGTTTCGTGTTTCTGAGAGTCGGGGCCACAAAATGCGTTTTGGCGATTTGTTTCGTGCATCACGAACATTGTCAATCATTATCAAGCACATTTACATCAAATTTGACTGACTGAGTTTGGTTTTACGCCGCTTTTAGCAATATTCCAGCAACATCACGGCGGGGGACACCAGAAATGGGCTTCACACATTGTACCCATGTGGGGATTCGAACCCTGGTCATCGGCGTGACGAGCGAACGCTTTAACCATTAGGCTACCCCACCGCCGACATCAAATTTGAGGGAAACGTCCAAACCTATTGATATGGTCAATAGCGAAATGGCTGATCCGCTTAGTCATTTCACGAAATGACTGATTTCACAATCTGACTGTAACATATAAACGTTATCGATACCAGTAGCCTGTGTCATCCAGCCATTTTAGCCATTTATCACCCAGCTTTGTGGCGAAATATTTTCTGAAGAAAGAGACCATTGAAAGAGACTCTGCACACTAGTTAATCAACTGTTTATTTGCAAGATACGAGAAATCAAAATGTTATGTAGCTGAGGATTCCATCGTGACGTACTGAGGTCACATGTTATTTTACGACTTCCAGCCGTTTAGAATGAATCGATGATTATCTTTAACTGAACTGTTACCACACTCAACTGGCTTCATCTGTTCAATGAGTCGAGATACCATTGGCCATCTTTGATAGTTTCTTGGAAGACAGATCTTGTCTTGAGACGGTCATAATATTTCCTGACCCGTGGATGGTTTTGGAGAAGTTCCCCGTCTCTTAGTACAGCGTAGATGTAAATCTACACAGTCAGCAACAGTCAACCTGAAACGTATATTCGAGTCAGTGAGTGAGTAAATGAATGAGAGAGCGACTGACTGACTGAATGAGTGGGTCAGCGAGTAGCTTCTGGGTGAGTAGTACATGTATAGTAATACGCGACACTGAATTTCCATCCCACCTTCAGATGTAACATCGAGATAGAAAATTGGAGTTATCTCCCCTGGTGGATGCGACCTTTTTTCTTTTATACTTGGTGTAACCTCCAACATTAAAGTACAGGGTTAGTGAATTCCTACAGTTACTATTACAATTGAGTTACAGTATTAATGTAATAATTTGCTTAAATGTTTTATAGGAAGTGCAGCATGAATAAAATATTTAAGTTTATCACATATTGTTAAACGTACAGGGGCTCGTAACGCAAAAATCTGGCATCAAGGCACATACTGTCATCAACGGGGTCTTACCACTATATCGCTAGACCTCTAAATCAGTCATTTCACGAAATGACTGAAAATTTTAGTCATTTTGCAAAATGACTGATTTCACAATCTGACTGTATCATATATAAGGATTGGGGTGTGAAAAGAGCCAACGATCTGACTGGCTATAAATATAATATGTCCCATCAGATTGCTGGGGTTTTTCAGTGCGGGGCAGTTCAAGTCCAAGGTCGTCAATGGCGAATGGGCACGACACAGGCCTGTATGCTATGAATACATGCACGTCAACTTATTAGTTAGGTGTAATTGTCTCCGTATCGCGTTGATAAGTGCCATAAATTCAGCATGTTTTGGTGTATGTCGTTCGTGTATACGGTGAAATATACAAGAGAATCGGTGAGTTAGCGATGCAAAATCCGAGCAGGAATTTTGTCTCGGAATCGAGAAATCACGATTTTTCGAGCTTCCGAAGACCCTAGATCCAAAAATACTGCTTCGATTTTTGTGCTGTATGTCTCATTTTGTAGGTAAATCTATTGGCTTGAAATGTGGGCATTTTTTAATGGGATAAATACAGTGAACATTGTTGAATTCGCCCTGAAACGAACGTGGTGTGTTGACCTCGTTAAGCCCCTTTCCTTTTACATGGTGTTAAGACCTCGTTGGTGACAGTATGTACCTTGATGCCAGATTTTTGCGTTACAAGCCCCGTGGTTTAACGTGTGCTGAAACTGAATGTACTGTTCAAGCAGTTTCAAATCCAACCCCAAAAATCCCCAGGCAGGTCATAACAGAATATATACAAATGAATCAAATTGAATATTATTCCTCCATTCAAATGTATTGTACGACTCAAATATTCTACTGCTTCGAAATATAAGGGTAAAGTCAGCTAAAATTTATGGCAGATGCTCTTGTCTCCACAGAGGAAGTCTCTCCCTGCCAAATCTGGTCGAGAGATAGTCAAGGCATGTATTCAGCTTGTCTCTCATCCTCGCCTGTCTCTCCTCTATTTCAGGCTCGCTGGCTTGGTTGACACATGTCATCGGTTCCCAGTTGCGCAGATCGATGCCCATGCTGTTGATCACTGGATTGTCTGGCCCAGACTCGATTATTTACAGACCGCCGCCATATAGCTGGAATATTGCTGAGTGCGGCGTAAAACTAAAATCACTCACTCACACACTACAATTGAGAATGCATGTGCTGAATCACGACCGGATTCCCACCATATATTTCACCTAAAATCATCTTGTATTGATGTAACCATGTTTCCACACAAAACATAAATATTGTTTGTTGTGGACAGGGTAAGTATGTTTTATCAGTACGTGAGCACGAGGAGTGAAATATGACAGTTTACCTTTAATGAGCCAAATGACCCTGACGGAGCGAAACAGGGGATGCCAGTATGGTGTCATCAGCTCCGCCATGGCGACTTGTACCCAGGGGGAATCTGTAATCGGAACCTGTGCTTTTTCGAGATGTGGACTGGCTTTTCGGAGATCACCTTGACCTTTGTTCCCTAGAAGCTTCTGTCCTTCGATAGCAGTATTTAAACGGCTATGGATTTGATTAGCGAGGTCGTAGTGGCGACGATGACGAAATACACAAGCGAGGACCGTGACCTATATCGCGATACTAGTTTATTAAAGGGACACTGTTTAATAAAACTGTAGATGTCAGTTTAAACACTGTTTTATGCATACAGTTGTTAGGCGTTAAAAGCAACTAAAACCACGAGTAAGAGCCTCTCAAGACAGTCCTGATGAATTCGGGATTCCGGTGAGTGATGTTTTACGCCGCTATTAGCAATATTCTAGCAATACCACGGCGGGGACACCAGAAATGGGCTTCACACATTGTACCCATGTTTGGACTTGAACCCGGGTGTTCGGCGTGACGAGCGAACGCTTTAACCACTAGGCTACAGGGTCTAAGTGTAATAACAATCACTTACGCACTCCTCGCACAGGATCACGCACGCCTCACACACAGGCGATCTCTGAGGGGCACACTCTGAACAAACACACACACGCACGCACGCACGCGCGCGCGGAAACACAAACACACAAACATATGCAATCACGAACGAACGCACACACATATTAAAATTTGCGTTGTCAGGTTAATATACTACTCACACTTTGATAAAGATCACAAAAATTTACTTAAAAATATGAAATTGTATCCATTTAAAACTGGATAAATAATAATAATATGGTAACCCCTGTTTAGGTAGAAAGCCACTTTATTCTAACCTTATGCACTTGATACATGAGTAACCATAAAAATGGTTTTCATGGCACCAATCAACCATTTTGCAAATAAACAACACCTTTCAATAGCAGGTATAGTTTCCACAAGAAGCAATGACATACTGAAACCTAGGAACCATGCTTACAATAAGTTTAGATATTTAAACCAAATTTGGCCCCACATAATAGTTTTCTATTGAATCCATGATTTGATCCTTAGCAAAATGTGAATAGTATATATAATCCGCCATATAACTCAGACGGCATACGCTATTGGGTACAAGTGCCAGACAAGCATAACGGACTGAGAAATACACATAGCCGTTGAAGGACGTTTTCTACGGCACGGTCTCGTCTGTCAATGGACAAATGATTCAACTGCATCACTGCACGAATACTGCAACTTAACACTTGATAAGCCACATATTTCAAACCGAACGATACTGCTGACACCACTGAGTATTGTCCGTCATTATGAAGCAGGGGCGGGTTGATTTCAGAGGGAGGGTATTTGGGATGTGAACGGCCACCTTATAAAGACTGGTGTCCAATGACGGGGATGTTTACCAAGGCAAACGTACTTTGTACATCTAAGTCTCACCCCGAGTCGAAGCCTTTCTTTACGTTAGTGTAAAGTTTCCACGTTTCATTGTTAACAGCATGGATCTAAATATACATAAATGTACATGTAGGTTGGTGTAAACAGTTACACCCGTGATCTACTCAGGTCACTGAGACGGGGAAACGTTGGCAGTCACTGACCTGCAAATCCTTAGGGGACACATTTCGGGGCTGTACTCGTTCTGCTGACTGTCTGAGTTTGGTTTTACGCCGCTTTTAGCAACATTCCAGCTACATCACGGCGGGGAACACCAGAAATGGGCTTCACACATTGTACCCATGTGGGGATTCGAACCTGTGTCTTCGGCATGACGAGTCAACGCTTTAACCACTAGGCTACCCCACCGCCCCTGTACTCGTTCTAAATACATTTGTATAGGGTCGATGAAATCGTTTATAACATAGTACATTCCTCTCCTCCAAATCTTTTTCTCCTGGTGCTTGATAGTCCTGTTTTATACAATCCACATCTGTTTTGCCCTTATAAAATATACCTATTTAATTACGTTTACATTTTTGATAGACACAAATATTGTCCCTGAAATATACATTCATATATACGGTTGTATACAGGAAATTAATTTAAGATTTAACAGAAACAAATCTATCCGATGAAATACAAAAGAGAAATTTTAATTTTCAAGACTGACTTTTATAAGACGTGCCCATATTCCCCGCTCTGCATATCTGGACAGGCCAAAGAGCTGAACAGGGGATACGTTTCTGATTGTCGTCTGCACGGATTTTTCAGCTCAAACGGTTCAATTGTCAGTCAGTGATTTTTCTCGAGGGTGTCAAACATATATATTTTGGTGTTTGCTACTTTGTTGCTACTGAAAATATTCCGACTTTTAATAAAGACGTCATCCAATAAGTAATCAATCCTGCCCACAAAACCAGTGGTTGGCATTTTGAGGTAGGTTTCTCAAGTCTGGGTACGATAAAACTCTAACTATCAAGTCATGTCCTACCAATAAAGTCGCTTCTTGCAACAAGCATCGGTTGCTGGCGCACAGTTCGAACCTGGGATCCCCAACTGACCGGAGAGAAGCAAGCGCAGCATACCCTGGGGACCAGTCTGGAATCCCCACCGGTCACACATAAACATTGTGTATGATCAATAATAAACAGCAAACAAAGAAACATCGATATTTCGTCCAGTTTTATTCAAGGCCACATCATACACACTACGATTCTTGGTCCACTATTGGTAACAATTTGACAGCAACAGTCTTAGGCCATGGCGATTGCTGCCTGAAATGCTGGTCTCTTTTCAAGCCGAGCGTAATATCCTTCTCTGATCTTGGGATGTTTCTCGAGTAGTTTGCCGTCATTAAACACCGCGGCGATGTACAGGTCAAAGCCCAATACCGTGTCAGCTGCAGTAAACCTGGAGAAAGAGGAAGATGTGAGTGAGTGAGTGAGTGAGTAATGCTGCATATGAACCTGGTATGTTAGGTTGGCATTGGATGATCTTAAGTAGTAACCTAAGCTTGGCTACACCCCACTTCGTCATACAACCCTTCAGCGAAAGTGTTGGTGGTTATTCGTGTTGGACTAGGTCCCCAGTAACCTTAGTTAGCTGTAAATCGGAACTACGTGGATCAGATGGTCAGGCTCGGGGTTGGAACTGTCTGATAGCAACTGGGTAGCTGCTCATCACACCAGTCACTCGATTATCAACAGATCGCCGTCAAATTGGGAGAATATTGCCGAGGATGGGGCAAAGCATCAAGGAGGTTTGGAATTGCGAGTTTCAAGGTTCCAAAGATCTGTAAGCATTCCTGTCTGAACACACACACACACACACACACACACACACCCCCGCGCATTAGTGCACATAAATATACTTTGTAGCTTTGTTTGGTTATTGTTTAACGCTGCACTCAACAATAGTCCAGCTATATGGCGTCAGTCTGTAAATAATCCAGTTTGGACCAGACAATCCAGTGATCAACAGCATGAACATCGATCTACGGGATACGATGACATGTGTCAACCATTCAGCGAGCCTGACCACCCGATGCCGTTAGTTCCCTCTTACTACAAGCGTGGGTTGCTGAAGACCAATTCTAACCCGGATCTTCACGGGTTCCACAAGCTGCTAAAGGCGCTTTAAATAGTCCAGTGGGACATTCGTGCGAATATTCTTTGTAAAATATCCATAAATCATTTCCGGGTCTTATACTTTGTGGTCATGTTCACACTAAAGCACTGTTCGTTGTTAAAAGCCCATATCATCAACATTCTAGCTACAGCCTGGAAATAGTCGAGTCAGGACCAGAGACCATGACACCTGTCAACCCGAGCATCACCACTCGATCCACTATTGTTAATATTCCCCTCTTGAGAGAGTGAGTTTACTTTTACGCCGCCTTTAGCAATATTCCAGCAATATCACTGCGGGGGAAACAAGAAAATGGGCTTCACACATTGTACCCATGTGGGAATCGAACCCGGGTCTTCGGCGTGACGAGCAAACGCTTTAACCACTAGGCTACCCACTCCCCTCTTGAGGTCAGCCTAGGTTGTTGGAGGCCGATTCTCTCGGAATCACGATGTGGTGTCAAGAATCCAGAACATATTCATCAGTCCGCTCGAGACCAGCAATCAGTTGTTGGCAGTGAACGTGAGGAAATTGTCCGACCTTATAATCTTTACACATTAAAATGCAATTTGTAAACAATTTTAGTATAATTGTGCCAACACCGACCTTTATCTGCCGAATGATACCAATATTTAAGAAGCATTATGTCTTGCATCCTACGCTTTTCCTAACATCTGTCGAAAGAGTTTCACATTTGCTTACCGAATTGTCGTGTCATCGGGCTCGCAAATGCTAATTAGTGATAATATATCAGGTGTATAAAACATAATGTAACGTTTGCCGTACTTGTCCCCGCAGAGAAATGCCCTGTTCTCTAGCTTCGTGGCCAGGTAGTCCATACATGTATCAAACTTGTCTGTCATCTTCTTCACCTTCTCATCGCTGAAGGGCGTCTTCACAAACCACAGCTCGTAGAAGAACTCGATGAGCTCATCCAGGGTGGCGTTGCCGTGCATGATGAAGCTGTAACACAACATAGTGCAATAAGACAACGATGTTGCCGTACATGATAAAGCTGTAACACAACATAGTGCAATAAGACAACGATGTTGCCGTACATGATGAAGCTGTAACACAACATAGTGCAATAAGACAACGATGTTGCCGTGCATGATGAAGCTGTAACACAACGTAGTGCAATAAGACAACCATGTTGCCGTACATGATGAAGCTGTAACACAACACAATGCAATAAGACAACCATGTTGCCGTGCATGATGAAGCTGTAACACAACATAGTGCAATAAGACAACGATGTTGCCGTACATGATGAAGCTGTAACACAACATAGTGCAATAAGACAACGATGTTGCCGTACATGATGAAGCTGTAACACAACATAGTGCAATAAGACAACGATGTTGCCGTGCATGATGAAGCAACACAACATGAATAAGAAACCATGTTGCTGTGAACACAACATAGTGCAATAAGACAACGATGTTGCCGTACATGATGAAGCTGTAACACAACATAGTGCAATAAGACAACCATGTTGCCGTGCATGATGAAGCTGTAACACAACGTAGTGCAATAAGACAACCATGTTGCCGTGCATGATGAAGCTGTAACACAACACAGTGAAATAAGACAACAATGTTGGCGTACATGATGAAGCTGTAACACAACATAGTGCAATAATACAACCATGTTGGCGTACATGGTGAAGCTGTAACACAACGTAGTGCAATAAGACAACAATGTTGGCGTACATGATGAAGCTGTAACACAACATAGTGCAATAATACAACCATGTTGGCGTACATGGTGAAGCTGTAACAGAACGTAGTGCAATAAGACAACAATGTTGCCGTACATGAAGCTGTAACACAACATAGTGCAATAAGACAACAATGTTGCCGTACATGATGAAGCTGTAACACAACGTAGTGCAATAAGACAACAATGTTGCCGTACATGATGAAGCTGTAACACAACGTAGTGCAATAAGACAACAATGTTGCCATACATGATGAAGCTGTAACACAACGTAGTGCAATAAGACAACAATGTTGCCGTACATGATGAAGCTGTAACACAACATAGTGCAATAAGACAACGATGTTGCCGTGCAATATGAAGCTGTAACACAACGTAGTGCAATAAGACAACAATGTTGCCGTACATGATGAAGCTGTAACACAACATAGTGTAAAGGACAAGAGACCACAGTGCAAATAGTCCCGTTAGTGCAATAAGCCAGTGAAGTAGCTGTAATCGTGCAATAATGATACAAGTGCAACAATCTTTAAACTGTGATGTGCAGTAGACCTTGACAGTTTAGTAAGCTTTGATCTTGCAATAAACCGCAATTTGTGCAATAACCCATTTATGGCAATAAGCCATTTCAGTGGAGTAAATGGTGATCGTGCAATACATACATACTTTGAGTGATGCCGTACATGATAGTGAAATAAACTGTTACATTGCTCGCTACACGTAACATTAACGTAACACTTTTCACGTACTCGTAATAGTCTTTCAGGTACTTGGGTTCCGGCAGGAGTTTCTTGTATCTGTCTGCCAGGTACATGTTGATGGCCCCTGACTCCAGTACGGACCCCTCCCCGGGGACGACGAGGGCGGGGATAGTACCGTGGGGGTGGACGTCCCTGCGGTAGGCGGCGACGTCGGCGGGATTGTCTTCATCGTTAGGCTTGTAGCGGATAAACTCAAAATCGTTCTCCACGCCCATCTCTGGTCAACGAAAGATCATTTTTAATTAACACATAAACAGTTATTTCATTATCTACTGCGGAAGGGCTTTAACGGAGAATTAATTGATTTTATTCAGGGCTGAGGCAATCTAGACTTGAGTTAGACTGCTTTATAATATTTATCTTCTTGCGTCTGGGAGACCGGTTTTGCTTAACGCTCTAGTTCCACGCAATTTTCTTTTCTAACTGCATTCTACAAAGTGTATGTTCATCAAAGGTATCTTGCTCAACAATGTGTAAACCCTCTAAAGAATCTCCGAAGCATGGCAACTAATTTCAGACAATTCGGAAGGAGTGATTTAAACGCTACGTGTCTTGAAGTTCGGGGCAACTCACAGCGAGCCATGCACTGTTTTTCAAATTACCCATTGCTTGCTGCATTAAATTGGTGCAACACACACACATGTGTTGATTATAGGTCTCGCAGTGTGACGGTATTTCTAACATCACAGATCAATAGTTTTATAATCAACTGCCATGAATGTTACACATACAGGGTACAACGGTCAACTCACCTTTGATCAGCCAGATATTTCGGACGGAGCGGTATTGAGGAAACCAGTACAGTTTCATTTTCGGAGCGTCGGTGTCGGCCATTGTAATGCTGAAGTTGGGTCGGTGGCAAAATGGGAGAGCTTGTGTTCGAGTTAGTGTTGGCAAGAGGCGTGTCCCATGCAACATATATGAAAATCGAGTTCCTTCACTGTGATAATGTACCCAGTTGGCAGATATTGGATGTCAGTCAATGCACCAACCCGCCTGTGCTGCGCCTGTGCTCTATTTTTAGATCAACTGGATTAGGGCTACCCCATTTCTCCGTCTTAGGGGCGTCAAGTCAGTACAGGCGTACCGTCAATGACTGTCTCGAACAATATCTTTACGATGTTGCGTCAACGAATACAGAATGGAATTCTTTCAAATTCTCTATTCTTTCAATGTGATCTTTGGGTGCAGATAAATACAAACATCAAGTTAGAAAGGTCTTTTGAAGTCATCAAGCTTTAATATCGTGCGTTAAACTTGAGCCCAGGGAGCACTATCTAGACTTCAACATCTTTTCAGTCCCTATCAAGAAGTGGGCAAAGTAATTTAAAATTACCACGCTACACGCTACACGACTACAAGTATTGAGTTACACAACTGACGCGTTGAAGATGGGTCGATGCAAGACGGAGTGTCCCCAGTTGTCGAATGTCTGGGTGAGAGAGTACCATCCTTGGTTTTCCATTAAAAACTGACGTACTAAGTAAAATACACTTCTGGTTTGGGGGGATTATTAAAAAAACTGTAAATATTTTTACATGAATTTTGAGTGTGGACCATTTCGGGGCATGTCTTTGTCCCGTCAACATCATATGCGCTGGGCGGGGAAGATGGGGCGTTGGCGACATCGTGGTTGGCTATCAAAATACTTTTCAAAATAGTTACGCTGTTGTTTGTAAAATTATCCCAAATCACAAGGTGTGCATTCTTTCTTTTGTATCATTTCTCAATTCTAATTCAATTCTATACGAACCTTTAACTTCATAGTTTATCGCTGGTAGATAAAGCTAATCGACTGAAAAAGTCCTTCACACGTACGCGTCCTTCCCACCATGGAAATATATATGGAGGGGCAGGCCCGAGCATATCGCAATGGTAGTAGTGAGTGAGTGGGTGAGTTGGGTTTTACCTCCCTTTTAGCAAATTGAATATTCAAGCAATGTCTAGGGCAGGAAACATCAGAAATGGGCTTCACATTTGTATAAATGTGGGGAATCGAACCCGGGCCTTCGTCGTGACGAGCGAACGCTTTAACCACTAGGCTACCCAACCGCCCCAGCAAAGGTAGTTAGCTTGTTTTAGTGTAATACATTGTGGGTATACCATTTATTGCTAAATAGTTCGTCACCACTCCCCTTTTCTGCAGTCTCTAATAGAATAATCCACTTGTATAGCGCCTTATTTCCAGGCTAGGCCTGCTCAACGGCGCTTTTGAGGAAAGCAGTGGAAAAGAGTTAATGGCTAAACAAAAATGTTTTTAGAGACTTTTTGAAGGATTGAACAGAGTCCACAGATTTGATGTCCATTGGAATGGAGTTCCAGAGTCGAGGAGCATATACAGAGAAGGCATTTTCAGCGAGCTGAGCTGCTGCTTGGTTGAGGATCTGAGAGTTCTTGCGGGTTGGTACAGATTAAGAAGGTCTTTGAGATACTGTGGTGAGGAGTCCACATTAGGTGTGGAGTACGTGAGAAGAAGACGTTTGAATGTGATACGATGCTTAACAGGAAGCCAGTAGAGTTGCCTTAGGATGGGTGAGATGTGTTCAGTTGGGCGAGTACGGGTGATTATTCGCGCTGCTTTGTTCTGGATTCGTTGAAGGTGCGAGATGACAGTTGATCCGGACAAAAGGGAGTTACCATAATCTAATCTTGATATGACAAAGGAATTCATGAGAGTTTTGCAAGTGTCCGTATCAGTGTAGATGCGGATTGTGCCTATTTTGCTGAGATGGTAATTTGCAGTTTGAGCTATTTTCAGTGCCTGAGCTTTACTGGACATCAAGCAGTCCATGATTACTCCAAGGTTCTTGACCCGTGATGATGGATGGACAAGGACTGAATCCACTTTATTGCTCACAGGAGGGAGTTTTGATAACTGTTTCTGAGTACCAAAAACGATGAGGTATGTCTTGTCACCATTCAATTTCAAGCAATTTGCACACATCCATTTGTGGACATAAGTGATGCAGTGTTGCATCGTAGTGACGGCACTTGACACATCTGTCGGTTTTATGGTTATATGCAACTGCTGATCATCAGCACAACCATGAAACAGCAGTGAGTGACTCCTGATTATATCTCCCAGAGGCTGAATATATACTGAAAATAATACTGGGTCCAAAACAGATCCTTGTGGGACGCCATGTTGGATTGATATTGATCTTGATGCAGAACCGTCAACACATACACGCATTGACCTGCCCTTCAAATAGGATTCCAGCCATCTTAAGGCCACATCGGTAATACAAAAGGTGGGGCGTAGACGTGACAGAAGAACGTCATGACTGATGGAATCAAAGAAGAATGGCATGACTGATGGAATCAAAGAAGAATGGCATGACTGATGGAATCAAAGAAGAATGGCATGACTGATGGAATCAAAGAAGAATGGCATGACTGATGGAATCAAAGAAGAATGACTGATGGAATCAAAGAAGAATGTCATGACTGATGGAATCAAAGAAGAATCATGACTGATGGAATCAAAGAAGAATGGCATGACTGATGGAATCAAAGAAGAATGGCATGACTGATGGAATCAAAGAAGAATGTCATGACTGATGGAATCAAAGAAGAATGTCATGACTGATGGAATCAAAGAAGAATGGCATGACTGATGGAATCAAAGGCCGCTGAGAGGTCAAGCATGACAAGGAGTACGACTTCTTGTTTGTCCATAGCTCTTAGTATATCGTTGTGAACACGACGTCGTACTGATGCTGTTTCTGTTGAATGACCTTTCCGATAGGCAGATTGATACACTTCTGACAAATTGTGATCGGTGATGTGAGACTGTAGTTGAAAGGAAACAACCTTCTCCAAGACTTTAGAGATGAACATCAAATTAGAAACTGGCCGAAAGATTTTGAGGTCTGATGGATGAATGTTTGTTTTCTTTGGAACAGGTGTGATTATGGCCTTCTTGAATGAATCTGGAACACATCCACTTGAAAGTGATGTGTTAAGCAGATCACAGGTGGCAGTGATGATTGCGGATGAACAAGACTTGAACAGCCAGCATGGTATAGGGTCCAGGGAACAAGTCTTACTTTTCATTGATTGGATAATCTTGAGTAACTGAAGTTCATTGACTGGCTTAAAGGCAGTAAGGTGTTCACCAGCAAATTCTCGATCACCGGCCAAGGGCTGATGCCTGTTTGTATAGATGCAATGTCCGACACAATGTTATTGACCTTCTCAGTGAAGAAATTGGCCAGCTTCTCCGCTTGAGACTGAGATTCATCGCAGGATTTATTTGGAACATTGGATTTGATGTCAGTCAAATTTCTTACAATAGTGAAGAGATGCCTTGAGTTACCTTTACTGTTTTCCACCTGATCTAAGAAGACTCGTTCCCCAATCGATGAATATGATGTGGGAAAATACGGCAAACCAATCAAAATGCTCGTAAGGAATGAGGTACTTTGATAAAAATAAACCCGAGTACTTAAATGGGTTATTGCATTATGGTCATTTCGAGAGTTTCAGATACACCCATGTGCACTTGTTCACATAACGTCTCTCTTGTTTTCTTGGACCATCTTGTAGGTTTGCTTTGGAGATTTTACGTTCGCTATCCAACATTTTTAGGTAATGTCAGTGTGCATAGCTTCAAGTTTCAAAACAATATATTTATATATAACTATTGCTCAACTTAAATCTTAAACACTGTGCTTACATTTCACTTCAATGGAGATATTTTAGTCTGGCGTTTCTGCGGCCGTTCATATTTTTCAGCGTATTCATTTTAAACTCCACCAGGCAGCAAAGTCAGTCTGTCTCACAGTCACTGAGCCACATTATTATTCCACACACCCTGTCCTTTCTGCCATGCTAAATCCCTAAATGAAGCAAGTCTAGATTTCCTCAGGTTCAGAATCCTCAGAATCTCCCATCTCACTGGGGCTCCTTTTTCAGTTTAAAAAGAATAATATTGTTTCTACCAAAATATGTATTCAGAGACGAAGCGTTAAAAGTCTACAAGATTACATGCACGTTCAGACAACTGGTAGACACCGCTTACACTAAATCATGATGGAACTCTCCATGAAATCTTCAGTTTGAGATATATTGTAAAATCATGTTTTTGTATCTATTTTTTACTTATTACAGCTGAAATAAAATGTTATTTCTATTACCTATTTATGAAATTCCATCCTTGTGACAAGGGCCATCAAATGAGGATCAGATGGGTAAAATGTCTGACCTGACTGAGTGTCTCAGGCGGTCAGCCTCCAGTTACTCTGGGGGCGGTGGGTAGCCTAGTGGTTAAAGCGTCCGCTCGTCACTCCGAAGACCCGGGTTCGATTCCCCACATGGGTACAATGTGTGAAGCCCATTTCCTGTGTCCCCCGCCGTGATATTGCTGGAATATTGCTAAAAGCGGCGTAAAACCATACTCACTCACTCCAGTTACTCTGTTTATGGAATTTTTACATGTCACCGTGATGTAGTCGGCACATGCCGACACACTGCTGAATGCGGCGTAAAAGACCATTCACTCACTGGCATAATTATAATGTTTCTATGTTGTTCAAGGCAAAATCGTACTTATTCCAGTCACAACAAAAACTTAGGGTCTGCGTTTACAAAACAAATCTTTATTATGCACTAAATCTTTATCACATAATAAATATTGATAAAGAATCAGTAAATATCCTATAACAGTAAAATAGGATGTTTACAATCAACTGAAAAAACTACGATGTTTTAAAAAGAATGTGTTGTACTGTCTTAAAGCAGTAATCTATTTGTGATTGTCTCTTACAAAACTGAGAATGTTAAGTGGTAGGTGACACAGCGTGACTAGGGTTTGGGTTCTACTTCATATTGATAGTGGCCTGGTAGTGTGGCCGCTTCTGGATACGGTCGCGGTACTCCAGGAGCACGGGGTGGTTTTTAAGCAGCGCTCCATCCTTCAAAACCATTGCGTAGTAGATGATGTAGCCAAAGACGCAGTCAACAGCAGTGAATCTGGAATAATATATACATCAACAATGTACATAAAGATATAACCAATATTCTTCAGTATATAGTGCCGAGCTTCTGGGTGTTTTCTAATATATAATATAATATATATATTATTCAAAAAGGAACCCAGTACAATTCTTCATTTTAGCCTAGAGCTGAGGCACACTAATTTACACTTGCCGAATCTTTCTAGACTTCTTGGAACTCGGCTCCTTAATTTGGTGCCTAGGGTCTGGGGAACTGCCCCGTCCACTGTCATTTCGTCTAGCTATGTTTAATTGACAAGAGAGTACTATTGTCCTCAGTGTTGATAAATACAAATACTTCATGTTACACAGTAGAAACAACCTTGTTACACCAGATGAAGATATAGGCTATACGAACATAGAGACATGTTAGGTCCCGTGCAGTGGATTGTATGCAGGGTTACCTCGGTTAGCCGTGTAAGGATCCGAAGTTTTCATTTCTCTGGGTTTCATCGAATAGGTCAGCCGAACGATCAGCGCCACGTTTTGGTTGAACCCAACTCATGTCATTTTGCCATTTATATTATTTACATGGATTACGAAAAAAAATATTATTACTTGTCTCCACAGATGAATTGTCTTCCCTGCAGTCTTCTCGAGATGAAGTCGAAGCCGGCGTTTAACTTATCTGTCATCTGCTGCACCTTCTCGTCGGTGAAGGTCTTGTTCATGCCGTACAGTTCGAAGAAGAAGTCCAAAATTCCGTCTAAGGTGGCCGTGGTGTAGAGCATGAAGCTGAAACACGCGGTTTTCAGGTAACTTAGCGGTAAACCAGGGCGGGTGAGGTTTACATAAAATGACTGCCCAATATAAATGGCTTTTGTGCCAACCGTTTGTCACCTTTTAGACCTACGCTTAGTCTCAAGAAAATATACACAAAGAACTTAGTTAAGCACCCCCTGTCATATCTCACGATTGAATGAGCCCCGATCTGAACCCTTTGGAGCATATCCCCAACTGGAAGCTGCTCTACACGAGGAATGGCGTAGACTGCCCCTTCAGAGGATCAGGAGGCTGACAGGGGGTATGAGGAGGAGAGTGCTGGTATACAGTCTCATCGAGGTTACACTCTGTATTGACCTTGAATCGTGTATGACACGCAAAATAACATTTTGAATGTTCACATTCACCAATGAATTCAACATTAAACATTCCAGGGCCATACTTGTACAGATATGGTTTTGTATGGAAATCCGAGTTGTTTTATAAAATGAGCAATTATCACCATAAAATCAACATGGATTCCAATCATTTTGTCGTCTCTTATGAGTTAAAGGATCATACGGGTCAGAAAAACTCATGTTTTTCCATCGTGGTCACCACGAGGAGTTTTATGTTCGTGTTGAAAACCTATCATTGCAAAAATACAAGGGGTGCTTAATTAAGCTCTTTTTGTATATATATTGTGAGAGAAACAAAAGACCCAGACGAGATGGGGACTTTTAAAACGTGAAAGAATGTGAGTGAGTGAGTTTAGTTTTACGCCGCACTCAGCAATATTCCAGTTATATGGCGGTGGTCTGTAAATAATCGAGTATGGACCAGACAATCCAGTGATCAACAGCATGAGCATCGATCTACGCAATTGGGATACGTTGAGTGCATTTTAGCAATTTCCCAGCAACATCAGGACACTCAGTAACTCCCGTCTACAGCCTGACATAAGCACCTGTAGTAATCTTCTTTGTCTTTGGGCTCCGGCAGGAGCTTGCCGTATCGGTCGGCGAGGTACATACAGATGGCTCCCGACTCTAGGATGGGAATGTGTCCAGGAACAACCAGAGCCGGGATTGTGCAATGGGGGTGGACGTCCTTGCGGTAGGCGGCGTCATGAGCCGCATCGCCACCGGGAAAGAAGCGCACCAGCTCAAAGTCTTGCTCCGCCTCAAGTTCTGCAAATATTTAAAATTTTGTGTTGAAACGAATTCGATTTTAAGTCTCCGATTATCCATCGTAACAGTGTAATATACCCAACAAATAGGTCCATGGTTTGAATTATATTTGAATGGAAATATGATAGGCTAGGGAATCCTACCTTAGGGGCCGTGCGTGCGTGCGTGCGCGTGTGTGAGTGTGAGGTGATTTTTATGTAGTAGCATGTACGATGTGAATAAAAAAAACCCTCCCCCCCCAGAAAAAAAAAGATGTACAAAGTAAGTAGCTTCCCCCTGCATGTCATGTACAAAATTGATGACCCCCCCCTATGGTACATGTGTACAAAATGGGTGGCCCCTCTCCCCCCTTAACATCACCATCAAACACACACACACACCAGCCATAAATTATGAACGGTTCCTTAGCTGAAGAATTATTTTCACCTTCTCCGCCTATAAAAAGTCTCAAATATATAAAAGTGGCCACACCTATTATCGATTATGGAAATCTTCACCTCCTTTTTCAGGGACTCCTGAAGGTGTTAACTGGTATAAATTTAGTTATTGGTAGATACAAGTAAACTTCAGGGCAAGAATCACGAGTTGCATTCGTCAGCGTCAAAGTTTAACAGTTAAATTCCTTAACGAATATATCAGTAGCCAGAATTATTTTTAATTTTTTTATAATTGACAATTTTAATTTCCTGTTTCCCCTATTACGGTAGAAGGCAATAGAGCCAGGGGACTCTAGGGCCTTTCAAAAAACTTGACAACAGAAAAACACGATGTTTTTTCTAACAAAGCACAAAACAACACAAGACCTCACAACACATTCACTCACCAATCACACAAGTTTCAAATAATTACAGTAAGTTTGTTTAAGTTCAAGTTCATTCAGCCTATATTTTTTCTTCATTAGGGAACAAGAAGAAAGAATTCAGAAAGTAATTTAAAATTTGCAAAATCATGATATAACATCCACTTTTTATAAAACTTATATTGTTCACTTTTACTGAAGGTTACATTCTTTTCAATAAAATACCTATCTTGTAAATAATGTCTAAAATGTTTATAGCTAAGAGTAGTTTTTAATACTTTACATTTATATTATGAAGAATTTAGCTCACAACAATATTAAATCAAACACATCATCAGTATATACATTTGTTCTCATTCCAAACACAGTAAGTTGCAGGTCTAATTTCATGTTGAGAACATGTTGACACTAGTCGCCAGACATTTCGCAAGAGAAAAAGATTGCCCTTGAAGCCAAGCACCATGACCCATCCGTGCACAGACAAGGGGCGTTTTGAAGAGTATGCGTCCAACCCAGTTCATACCGTTTCGAGTCTCAGCTGTCGTGAGGCCGTTACCCTGTAGTGATATGTACTCACTGGATAATGCAAGCATAGACTGTGGAGCTATATCAGTCAAGATCCCACATCCGACTCTAGTGTTTAATAAACAAAAGGCCAAATAGTTGCATGTGAATTTTAGTCTTAAGTGAACATAGTGAACGGAAAATGTAAGGGACGGCGACTCAACCGACATCAATCGAATCCAAACCAATATGTACACAGGCAGGACGGGCGTCTTTACTTCTATTCACAGCATGATTGTGCACATTTGGTGGTTTGGTATGAAACTCATTATGCATAGAAAGTGGGATGAGAGGCATGGGGTTTGAAGTCCAAGGCTAATGAATTCATTTGGCGGAGTGCATGCACAAATATACATAGAGAAATACACCACGGTATGTGTGCTCGTACCAGACTGGGGTTACCCTGTTGTACTTAGTGCTGTAAACTGGGATACCATGACACACTTTGTCCTGAATACCCTACAAAGACGCATTATACACCGAGCCAACCCATCCTTGTATTTTAGCGTTACGTGTATAGTATGACCAGAAATTATTGCGAATTTTAGGGATATGTTTAATTGGATTTCTAGTATAAACAACCTTGACCAGCTACCAAGTGCTTGGTTTCATTCAAGAGACACAACTCCGTTAATCCTTTTTCATTAGTTTGTGAAGAGTTATCCCCCTTTGTTTACTTGCTAGCAGACGACATTTTCAGTGATCCTCAGTATGGATGATTTAGAAAAGAGGGTTGATTTTAGAGTATTATAACAAGGACGTCAGATCAGCTATAGTGATTTCAAGTAGAACAGGCATCCCTTTGTCCACTGTTTATTGTGTTTTGAAAAATATTGCAAATGGATATGGCATTGAGCACCAGGGAGGCGCAGGTAGGCCCAGAAAATTGACTGTCGGTGACAGGAGGCGGCTTGGTATTCTTGTTTCTAAAAACAAACGAAGGAGTTTAGAAAAGTTAAGGCTGGATATGATTGATAGAGGAACTGTGGCTGTCTGTAAGGAGACAATTAGAACTGAGCTGCATGCAATGAGTTGGCAGAAAAGTCGAGGAATTCCATCACCGATCATGAAACCTGAACAAAAGGAGCGAAGGTTGAACTGGTGCTTACAGCATAGAAATTTTAACTGGGACAATGTGATTTTCTCAGATAAAAGTTCTGTGTGGCTGTTTCCTAATACACTGAAATTTGGACCAAACAAACTGAAAAACCTTTGTATCAGCGCCCAAAGTAGTCCGAAATATAACGTGTGGGGTGGCATATCTGTGTTAGGGACAACGCCCCTCTGTGTATTTAAAGGGAATATGAACAGTGAGCGGTACACAGATATTCTCGAAGGACATTTACTTCCATCTGCTCACGTGTTCTATGGAAATTTTTTGGATTTTCCAGCGGGACAACGACCCAAAACATCGTTCAAAGCATTCACAGGCCTGGTTTCGGACCCAAAATATGACATTATTAGATTGGCCAAGCCTGACCTAAATCCAATATAAAATGTTTGGGGACTTATGAAGGAAAGTATCAATAAGAAAAATCTGACAAATATTGCTGAAAAGAAAGAAGAGGTGGTCCGATATTGGGACAGCATGGGCCACGACTTTCTAACTTCTTTGATCAGTAGTATGCCCCGCCGCATTGAAGCCTGCATTGAAGCCCATGGTGACTTGACAAAATACTAACTGTTCACCTGTCTTTGAATCTGGATTAATGTTCTGCTTATATTCAAATTTGATACATGAGTAATGAGTGAAAAAAATTAGAATCTTTAAATTATCTCTCTTCTGTATCCTAGTACCTTTTTACCTTCGCTCCTCTGTACCGTCTTAAATACCTTAAGTACCTTTTTTACCAACCCTCTTCTATACCGTCTTAAATACCTTTTTACCAACCCTATTCTGTACCGTCTTAAGTACCCTTTTACCAACCCTCTTCTATACCGTCTTATGTACCTTTTTACCAACCCTCTTCTGTACCGTCTTAAGTGCTTTTTTACCAACCCTCCTCTGTACCGTCTTAAGTACCTTTTGACCAACCCTCTTATGTGCCGTCTTTAGTGCTTTTCTACCAACCCTCTTCTGTACCGTCTTAAGTACCTTTTTACCTTCCCTCTTCTATACCGTCTTAAGTACCTTTTTACCAACCCTATTCTATACCATCTTAAGTGCTTTTTACCAACCCTCTTCTGTACCGTCTTAAGTACTTTTTTACCAACCCTATTCTATACCGTCTTAAGTACCTTTTTACCAACCCTCTTCTATACCGTCTTAAGTGCTTTTTACCAACCCTCTTCTGTACCGTCTTCTTCTGTACCGTACCTTTTTTACCAACCCTCTTCTATACCGTCTTAAGTACCTTTCTACCAACCCTATTCTCTACCATCTTAAGTACCTTTTTCACCAACCCTCTTCTGTACCGTCTTATGTACCTTTTTACCAACCCTCTTCTGTACCGTCTTAAGTACCTTTTTACCAACCCTCTTCTATACCGTCTTAAGTACCTTTCTACCAACCCTCTTCTATACCGTCTTATGTACCTTTTTACCAACCCTCTTCTATACCGTCTTATGTACCTTTTTACCAACCCTCTTCTGTACCGTCTTAAGTACCTTTTTACCAACCCTCTTATGTGCCGTCTTTAGTGCTTTTAAACCAACCCTCTTCTGTACCGTCTTAAGTACCTTTTTACCAACCCTATTCTATACCGTCTTAAGTACCTTTTTACCAACCCTCTTCTATACCGTCTTAAGTACCTTTTTACCAACCCTCTTCTGTACCGTCTTAAGTACCTTTTTACCAACCCTCTTCTGTACCGTCTGTACCTTTTTACCAACCCTCTTCTATACCGTCTTAAGTACCTTTTTACCAACCCTCTTCTATACCGTCTTAAGTACCTTTTTACCAACCCTCTTCTGTACCGTGTTAAGTACCTGTTTACCAACCCTCTTCAGTACCGTCTTAAGTACCTTTTTAACCTATAGTTTATGTGCCGTCTTTTAAAGTCTTTTGGTTGGTAGAACGCCAGAGCAGCAAGGAGAGAAACAGACAGAGTGACGGGATTGAACCACCGGGACCCCGCTATCTCGGACGGCGTTCTATCTATTAAACCTTGGGAGAGTGAGTGTGTGAGTTTAGTTTTACGCCATTTTAGCAATATTCCAGCAATATCACGGCGGGGGACACCAGAAATGGGCTTCACACATTGTACCCATGTAGGGAATCGAACCCTGGTCTTTGGCGTGACGAGCAAACGCTTTAACCTCTAGGCTACCCCACCGCCCCAAACCTTGGGAGAGGCCCAGTACAGACTAACTGAAACATTGTAGTAGTTATATCATCGATCGTTTCTGAACGGGCCAGACGTATTGACTGTGTCCTGGACATATTGCTAGCTGTGTTGGCCTACTACATCGTGATTCAGCAGAACAGCCGACCTCTTTATCAGCGTGTGTTACTGAAGTTTTTTCTAGCATTGGTTGTTGACAGGCAGATCAAGGCTATTCAGAAAGTGGGTCTGTGTCTGACACAGATCGAGAGGTTATACCAGTGCAGTTTCAGCTTTCCGCAATGGAGAATAGCTGTTTATATAACAAACCAAGCTCAAGTCGCACCTGTCTAATCGAGCACAGAAGCAGCGGACGTAACTCCACCAACCGTCTCTGTAGATGCAATCGTTCACAGAAGAGAACCGATGGTTTGGTTAGAAGCGACTGTCGTTTTGGAAATATTTAACTGTTCATAATTTAAGATATCGTCCTTTAAAGCTACAGCACGTACCTTTGATAAGCCATATCGGTCGCACAGACCTGTATTCAGGATACCAGTACAGTTTCATCTTTCCGGAGTCTCCCGCCATGATTGTCGATTGAACAAGAAGCCGTTAATACTATCAGCCTTGGAGGTTGCCTCGCGTCTGACTGACGCGACTGTATCGATCAGGGGAAGTAACTCATACGTCAAAGTGGAACGGTCCATGTACCGGTGAAGAGTGTCAGCGTTGTGACCCACATTGTGTGTTTATATTTCAATTACCCGTCTCAAACAGCGGCATTCCAGTGGGCGTATCCCTTATTTACTAGAACCGAAGGGTCAGGACACATAGGCTTAATTACCTCTTTCCTTATAAAATTAACTATTCGCATGTATTATACTTATTCACATATTTTAATAATTTTCCCGAATATGCTAATACATATCCCCCTTATATCAGTTCATATATAGGCCTATATTTTAGAGTAAATCATTTAGTAAGAGGAAATATGTTAAGAAAAGTCTTTACGCTGAGGTTTTATTTTCTCGCATCACCCTCCCTCCTTATATTATTAACGGTCCTTGATTGCATTTTCCTAAGCATAATTTCCATACCAGCTTCACATGAACTCACCTCTCCGTTTTACTGTAGCTCCTCGCCCCCTAAATCTGTTTTGAAAGGGAATTTCATGCATTCACAGTTATGATTTTTTGTCTTTAGATTAATCGTGACATATGGATTATGTAAGGAGTCTATTTCGGTGTATTTATAAAGGACGTTATTTGCGTGGCATTTTTATTTGATTATACCAGTTCACAATAGTGATGATAAGGACAGCATTTGTCAGAAATAGACCGGCAGACCCGCATCGCTTCCTTCCTGGCGTTTACCTGATATGCTGGATATATGATATTGGCAACGAAAAATATGTTTGTCTTGTAGCCAGGACTCTAACAATATTCTGTCGTAAACAAAACTTCTGGGCGTCCTGTACTTACAATTATTGTGAGGCGGTGCAACCCCGAGGACGTCCCAGATTTCTTTGTGGATTTGGAAAAAACCCGATAGGAAATATCCCTCTCCCCTCGTATATTCTGAATGTTGTAAATGTTTCGGTACAATGTTTCAATCCTTTAGGTCATTTGTCTGCTTTTTAAATTGTATTTAATACACTATTTTCGGGATATATCAACAAGTGGATGATGATTGGAAAGAATGCGGGGGGCTGAAGTATTACGAGCGCATCTTGTAATTTAGAGGCGACTAACGGGATCGGGTGGTCAGGCTCGCTGACTTAGTTGACACATGTCATCGTGTCCCAGTTGCGTTGATCGATGCTCATGCTGTTGATCCCTGGATTGTCTTATTCAGGCTTGATTAGTTACAGACCGCCGCCATACAGCTGGAATATTGCTGAATGTGGCGTATAACTAAACTCACTACTCCATTCATATCGATATTGAATTCCTAACTTCGAGCCTGGATAGCAGACCAATTTAGTCGCCTCTAACGAAGAGTGTGGATAAAGTTTTAGGCTCCTGTATGCTTACCCAGAAATCCAGCAAATGGCAGATAAAAATGTTCGATCGTCGAGTGATTCACATCAATCTTTTGACACAGATCTACCATCTTCATAGGCGGATCCAGGAATTTTCAAGGGTGTGTGTGTGTGTGTCTGTGTGTGTGTGTCTGTGTCTGTGTGCGTGTTTTGTCTAAGGGGGTTCCCCTGAATCCCCCGTTGGCTCCGCCAATGCAAAACATTAACTTCAATGTTGTCTTTAGTCAATTTCATGTTCGAACCACCTGAACAACCCACCACCACCCTGGATCGGTCAGTGATCTTACATCCGTGAACGTTGTATCTACAGTAAAGGCATCTTTGAAGACATATGTACGTGAGTGAGTCGATTTGGTTCAACGCCCCTTTGTATAGCGTGAGCTTACTGTGGAGGAAACCCGGAGAAGGAGGTCACGTCGGGAAATGCAAAATACTTTACATAACAACACACAGACCATCCAGATGTCTGTATTTACAAACTTGTACAAAACATAAATTGTATACATGACAACTGCTAAAATATTTCAAAGGATGTTGTGGAGCATAAGTTGTAAGTATGGACGAAATATGAAAAATATTACAAAGGAAATATACAGAGAAACTTTGATGTGAGACATCAAAGCCGCTGCAACACAGCATCATGTGTCTTTATTACAATAGTAAACAAATGGAATGTACAATAAACAGACATTTTCGCTCGTTAGATACCAAACCATTCACTCGTTTCATAAATATCGCATAACACGGGGCATCGTTTAGTATTGTATTATTACTCACCCATCATTAGCAGAATAATATCTCAGAATTCAAGTTACAGAACGAGTGCATTACGCCGACATAACAGGGGTCACGCGTATAATTACATTTCATTTAAACATTAGTCTATTTAATTTGATTTTTAAAATAAACAAGGGGTATGAAAAAGGGACCAAATGACTTCAGCCAACATGTTATTTATTTGATATAAATGATATTACACGCATCCGAGCAAAGAACAGTTGAATATCGCGACTTCCAGATGTGTTATGAATGACAGCCGACATATTGTTTTGATCACGTTACTTTGGTCATGTGGCCGAGTGCAAAGAGTTCCGGCAGCACGTGATGTCATTACAATAATGTGTACGCAATGTGTAATAACATTGTAGATTTATTAAACAGTAATATCTTCAAAGGGTGAGTAATAAAACACTTTTTCCTGCTGTTAAAACAAAACAGGCTTGTTTTAAACAATACGGACAATAGGGGTTTTGAACAGTTCATCCCTTGTTTACTCCGATACCCTGCTTTTGACATATATCTGATAACATTCTGTACAAAATGAATTTGATAAGCATGTTATCTCCACATTAAATGAGTGTTATAGCTCAGGCGGTGCAACCCCCGAGGACGTCCCAGATTTCTTTGTGGATTTGGAAAAAACCGATAGGAAATATCCCTCTCCCTCGTATATTCTGAATGTTGTAAATGTTTCGGTACAATGTTTCAATCCTTTAGGTCATTTGTCTGCTTTTTAAATTGTATTTAATACACTATTTTCGGGATATATCAACAAGTGGATGATGATTGGAAAGAATGCGGGGGCTGAAGTATTACGAGCGCATCTTGTAATTTAGAGGCGACTAACGGGATCGGGTGGTCAGGCTCGCTGACTTAGTTGACACATGTCATCGTGTCCCAGTTGCGTTGATCGATGCTCATGCTGTTGATCCCTGGATTGTCTTATTCAGGCTTGATTAGTTACAGACCGCCGCCATACAGCTGGAATATTGCTGAATGTGGCGTATAACTAAACTCACTACTCCATTCATATCGATATTGAATTCCTAACTTCGAGCCTGGATAGCAGACCAATTTAGTCGCCTCTAACGAAGAGTGTGGATAAAGTTTTAGGCTCCTGTATGCTTACCCAGAAATCCAGCAAATGGCAGATAAAAATGTTCGATCGTCGAGTGATTCACATCAATCTTTTGACACAGATCTACCATCTTCATAGGCGGATCCAGGAATTTTCAAGGGTGTGTGTGTCTGTGTGTGTGTGTGTTTTGTCTAAGGGGGTTCCCCTGAACCCCCGTTGGCTCCGCCAATGCAAAACATTAACTTCAATGTTGTCTTTAGTCATTTTCATGTTCGAACCACCTGAACAACCCACCACCACCCTGGATCGGTCAGTGATCTTACATCCGTGAACGTTGTATCTACAGTAAAGGCATCTTTGAAGACATATGTACGTGAGTGAGTCGATTTGGTTCAACGCCCCTTTGTATAGCGTGAGCTTACTGTGGAGGAAACCCGGAGAAGGAGGTCACGTCGGGAAATGCAAAATACTTTACATAACAACACACAGACCATCCAGATGTCTGTATTTACAAACTTGTACAAACATAAATTGTATACATGACAACTGCTAAAAATATTTCAAAGGATGTTGTGGAGCATAAGTTGTAAGTATGGACAAATATGAAAAATATTACAAAGGAAATATACAGAGAAACTTTGATGTGAGACATCAAAGCCGCTGCAACACAGCATCATGTGTCTTTATTACAATAGTAAACAAATGGAATGTACAATAAACAGACATTTTCGCTCGTTAGATACCAAACCATTCACTCGTTTCATAAATATCGCATTACACGGGGCATCGTTTAGTATTGTATTATTACTCACCCATCATTAGCAGAATAATATCTCAGAATTCAAGTTACAGAACGAGTGCATTACGCCGACATAACAGGGGTCACGCGTATAATTACATTTCATTTAAACATTAGTCTATTTAATTTGATTTTTTTAAATAAACAAGGGGGTATGAAAAAGGGACCAAATGACTTCAGCCAACATGTTATTTATTTGATATAAATGATATTACACGCATCCGAGCAAAGAACAGTTGAATATCGCGACTTCCAGATGTGTTATGAATGACAGCCGACATATTGTTTTGATCACGTTACTTTGGTCATGTGGCCGAGTGCAAAGAGTTCCGGCAGCACGTGATGTCATTACACAATGTGTACGCAATGTGTAATAACATTGTAGATATATTAAACAGTAATATCTTCAAAGGGTGAGTAATAAAACACTTTTTTTCCTGCTGTTAAAACAAAACAGGCTTGTTTTAAACAATACGGACAATAGGGGTTTTGAACAGTTCATCCCTTGTTTACTCCGATACCCTGCTTTTGACATATATCTGATAACATTCTGTACAAAATGAATTTGATAAGCATGTTATCTCCACATTAAATGAGTGTTATAGCTCAGGCCACACGAAGTTACCTCCCCTTCTGATTTCATTCACACTGTTGAAACACGGCGGAATACCCATGGTAGACTATTCAGGGTCACCTTTCATCATTGCGACAGGTTCCAACACATTTAATAAATTTGAGGATTTCGTTAACAATATATCTGAACAGCTAACAACACGAAGGTAATGTGTTAAACACACACCAAAACAAATAGTCACAGACACGTGGAGGCAGAATATGGAATGCGTGAAGTTCCGGTACAATACTGACTGACTGACTGAGTTTGGTTTTAGGCCGTTTTAGCAATATTCCAGCAACATCACGGCGGGGGACACCAGAATTTGGCTTCCGGTACAATAACCCACAACCCCTCAAATGACTTTTCATAGCATTCGTCACGTCTCGCCCCTTTCCGTAACCACGCTATTCGGCTTTGGGCGGTATAACGCCGAGTGGGTAACGAATTTTTCACAGAACTGTTACAAATCTATCACTACCTACTATTTCACATTGGTCCTGAAATGACGTCACTACCAACATATGATACCCGGATGTTTACATTCAAAAGACTTCCCGCGATTGAGATGTATCCTCAAGGATCTGTGCGCCCCTATCTGAGGTAAAGTCGATATGAGATTGTTCCAGTTAGCAAAGTAATCGCATTGGATTTAATGAATGTATGATGGACAAATATTTTCAAAGTATTTTTCAGAATGGGATATGAAATAAAATGTGTACAAGCACATGTAATTAATACAACACATAAGAGACAAAAACCACGGACGTCCGCTCAAGTACCTTTGTTTAAAAATGCACACAACTTCACTTTGATCTTACTATTGATTTTTGAGATTATCAAGTCTGAAGACCCAGGCCCACTGACAAGGCAAACGATTGGGTGGAATTCCTGGAATCATGATCGTCATTCCTGACGTGGCACCAGCTTTGAAATCAAAGTATCCTGGGTATCCTAGCAACGCCACTTTCGTGGCGGGACCCGCTTGTGGGGCAGCTAGCTCTAGGTTATCTCCCTTTGGCCAGCTCAAAGCGATGGCGTACACGGAAATGCCGGTGGCAGACTTCTTGGAAGTGTACCTGGAAATAATATCCGTTTTAAGTAACACTTAAATCTTGAATATAAAAAGATTTTCTCTACATACAATATGATAAAAAAAGCAGCCCAGATATTTTCTCCAAAACAGTAATCTAGACCTGCCTAATAATCGAGACGCTATAAGAATACATGTTTCAGGGCTCTGTACGACTCGTCACAGTTATTGTACTGATATGATATGATATGACCCTGCAGTGAAAGCAATGCTGTGACATATCATTCACACTCGTAAAATACCACATACCATTTTTTGATATATGACAATGAAAAGTATTGTTCAGTCACCATTACCCGAAACGCGATTACAGTTACACGCCCTGGGTGAGGCACGGAAATAGAGAACGAGAATTTGCAAACGACATTTGGGAGGAAGAGAAATATGTGAATGATTTCAAGTTTTCGGCTGTCACCTAAAATATAAACAGTGCAGCATCAGCCCCCAGATGAACACTTTGAAATAAGGGGAGTTTCGGGAGAAATGGGTAATAAGACCTTTTAAACCCATATCATATGTTATTCTATTGTTAATTTAAAGTCTTCGTTTCTCAGAATAATCTCGTCTCCAGGCTTCCGACGTTAACTACCCGAGCGCCCCCTACCCGAATATTTTTTTTGGGCCCAGTGTTAATGAAAAGTATCGCAAGCCTGTTGAGACCTTTAACGAAGGTAAATGGTGTGTCTAGTGTAATTAAGAGTGAATGAGTGAGTGACTTTAGTTTTACACCGAACTCAGCAATATTCCAGCTATATGGCGGCGGTCTGTAAATAATCGAGTCTGGACCTGACAATCCAGTGATCAACAGCATGAGCATCGATCTACGCAATTGGGATACGATGAGATGTGTCAAGCAAATCAGCGAACCTGACCATTCGATCCCATTAGTCGCCTCCTACGACAAGCATGGGTTACTGAAGATCAATTCTACCCCGGATCTTCACGGGTCAGTGTAATTAGGTTCCCAGTCAACAATAGTCAAATTGTCATGGAGACAACAGTGCCCTGCCTTGCACTCACCATACACTAGGTGTCGCTGTATCATTCTGGGTAGTCCAGGGTCGAGTCGCATAGATGGCGTCTCCATTAACGTTCAGCCATTGTCCTATCTGTCGTAGCCTCTCCTCAAAGATCGGGGTGATCATTCCGTCAGGGGTGGGGCCAGCGTTCAGCAGGAAGTTGCCACCGCAGCTGTTATAAATTGAGAATTAACAACTTTATTAATGTTATAAAGACTTCCTCGAGGATTTTATTTCAAAATTCAGCAAATGGTTTCAAGATTCATGACAACATTTATTCACTCATAGAGTACATATTCCTGTACCAGTCACAACCAATAAAAAATACCTGTCATTATTTAATTAACACAAATTCAACAAGGTATTAATACATCTATTTAAAGATTATTAAGAAATTAATAAAGAAAGTAGCGGGTAAATAACGAGTTCCAGTGGGAAATAATAGAAGCAACGTGACGCGCCGGTGGGTCTGATGGTACACCATAAAACTAGTTTCTGAAAATATGCAATTTTGATAGAAAAAGAGGTCCGATGAGATAGGAAATTCAATACATTCGGAACAACTGAAACTATTTTACGGTTATAACATCACACAATTCTCTAATAAGGCAATAGTTTATTAAATTTCCGTGTTTCTTTTTATAATAACGCCCTACTTTACGTGATAGCAACACCCAAACCCCACTTTTCGCAGGTGATAGTTATCGTCAAATTAATATTGCTGTAACTTAAATATTCTACCTGTAGTTTTATAATAACAAGTGGATTTCGAAAATGACACTATACTATCAAATTTGCCTGGCTTTGTTTTTTCGGCGCCCGGCGTTACACGTGTTACACTGGCCCAAGTGTTAGAAAATACTTGAGTTTGTATATCTCCATTCATTTAGGTTTGGTTTGGTTGTTGTTTTACGCAGCACTCAGCAATATTCCAGCTATATGGCGGTGGTCTGTAGATAATCGAGTCTGGACCAGACAATCCAGTGATCAACAGTCATGCGAAGACATGTGTCAACCAAGTCAGCGATCTTGACCACCCGATCCAGTTAGTTCCCTCTTACAAGCGACCCCTGAAGATCCGGGGTAGAATAGGTCTTCAGCAACTCATGCTTGCCACAAAAGGCGACTAACGGAATCGGGTGGTCAGGCTGGCTGACTTGGTTGACACATGTCATCGGTTCCCAACTGCGCAGATCGATGCTCATGCTGTTGATCACTGGATTGTCTGGTCCAGACTCGATTATTTACAGACCGCCGCCATATAGCTGGAATATTGCTGAGTGCGGCGTAAAACTAAACTCACTCACTCCTCTTACAATCAATACCAATTCTTTGGCGGGTCTTCAAGCTTCCATTCGTTTACCTGACAACAGTTACAAACTGTTGAAGAAGCTCCTCTATGGTGTTGAAATCACTCAGCAGGGCGTTACGTCTAAACCCCCATGCCACCTTGTCAATAGTGGTAGCATCCTCAAACTTGTGCTTAGACAGGACACCTGAAGAGTGAAAATGTATGCAGGTAATACCAATGCCTGGCCTTCAGTGCGGACTTGGTATTTACTAGACTAACGCTGCTTCGTCTCTGAAGGGCTAGGCAGTAGGGAAAATAATGTGGTTCAGGGACTGTGAGACAGACTAGGTAGGTACGGGCAGTTCCGTCTTATGCTAGAACACAATGTCACTTGCCCGGGTGCCTCTATAAACATGGGGGCTCCATGCTAATGTAAATCAATCAATCAATCTTTATTCTCTTTTAACCACCCACGGTGGTACAAGAGCATAGGATATATAGTATACATAAATTTAATTGCATTGTTGGAATGTAAATAAGTTGTGACTGCGTGTAAATGCATATTAAGCATGAACTTTACTAAATATAATGAAAAATACCAAACTTGATATCTTGTTGAATTTATTTTTCAAGGTTCACATGATTTTGTTCAAACGTTTGACAAATCTTTGCTGTTCAACATGTGTTAATGTTTGAACACTGACTTTGTTGGAAGCATATAAATATAATAAAAAGTGTTTAAATTTATCGACCATTTACATCTTTATTCCTGTGGGTGTTTTCGCAGGTAGGGCCTTAATGCACTGTTTTACCTGAGCTCGTTTTATGCTGTTAAGGCCACCCTAGCTAACGCAACGTTGTGGGGAGTTTGTAGATTGGTAACGTCATACCACGTCGTTGTCACGACACAACGTCTTTTTATAACGCTACGTCACAACGTAATAACAACGTTGAAAATTTACTTTGATGAAACGTTATGTTTTGGGCTCCTCACAACGTTATAACACGATGGTGTCACGATAAAGTTTATTATAAAACTTTTCACTTTGAGATTCTTTCTTCACTATAAAGCTACAGCTTCAGAGCACACGACCAACAGAACATGCAAATTGACGAATAAACATTGAAGTGAATGTCTGCTTCGTTTCTTATGTACTGTTCACTACTGGGAAAACTATTCAATTATTAAAGTTAGAACGTTAATACTACGTTAGCATCAAATAACCCGTGGCACGTAAAAATGGAAGTTTCACAACGTCAGGCCACAACGTTGTGACAATTGCAAGGTAAATGGGAGTCCACAGAATAACGTTGTGACAACGTTTTGACAGTGTGAAACTGGGACCCTGTCTACACGTTGTATTGCTCCCTGTATTACCTGGGTTGTATTTGTCACTACACGTGTAGTAATCCCCGTGTTTGCACCATGTATCATTTCCCCATCGGTCGTTGACCACAACAGAGTCCTTCACGGGACTGCAAAACAATAACATTCATAATCAAATAACCAACGTTTAAAGCGAGTGAGTGAGTTTTACCCCGCTTTTAGCAATATTCCAGCAATGTCACGACAGGGGACACCAGAAATGGGCTTCACATATTGTGCCCACGTGGGGATTCGAACCCGGGTCATCGGCGTGACGAGCGGACGCTTTAACCACCAGGCTACCCCACCGCCCCCACCAAGGCTTTAAACAACGTATAGTCATCATAAATGAGTTATGTATATCATTTATAATGTAGCGGATGAATACATACGAAATGTAACAAGTAGCTGAAAACTGTTGTTGTATGGCAACTGTGGATAATAACTGCAGTTGTTATAAAATAATGATATGCCGACAAACAAAGACAAAATACATTGTTTTTAGATTTTGAATTTCTATATTTTGTCAAATTTTAAATATTTTGCAATGACGAAAGCCTATAAATAATTGAGTCAGGACCAAACAATCCAGTGACTCAGTGACATTATTAGCAACAATGACACAATTGAGGAAGTTGAAAATGACCACTCATTTTATTTAGTGTTCTTTGGGGCAGTAGTGTTGCTGGGGCCTTTTTCAACACAGAAACCAAACAGGGAATGCTCTAGATATAATATTCGAAAAATTACCTGTTGTTATAGAGCCAGGCTATGAACTCAGTAGAATTCCAGTAGGTAGAATTGGCCATCCAGTCCCCATCAGACCAGATAACGTCAGGCTTGTACATGTTCACCAGCTCGTATAACTCGGGCATTGTCTTGTACTGGAAGCAATAACTTGGGTAGGACACCAAATAAGGAATGATCATTTGTTTGATATAATACACAATTTGTCTGTATGTAACCTAAGTTACACTGGCCATGGGCTGGTAAATGTTAAGTACAATCTCTGTTTTCCTCAGTTGTAAGCAACCAACTGTTTACATGTATTTACACCATCAAACAATCTATTTATTTACATTATTGTTTGTTTGACTTTCGGATATTTTTCACAATACAAATCGTTCATTTTGTTCAGCCACTGCTATTCACATTATGAGAAGGATTTAAGTGTAAATACGGAGGACACGGTAAGTGTAAATGCTGTTACTTCAGTAAGTGTAAATGCAGTAGACATGTTGAGTGTAAATACAGAAGACACGGTAAGTATAAATGAAGTAGACATGGCATATAAACGGCCTGATTGAGGAATGTATAAAAGACCAACCTTAACAAAGTCTTGAGTTTTGAAATGGTTCTTCTGATCTTGAAGAAAGATCGGATTGACAAACTCGAACAGTGAGTGGTAAAGACCGAACTTGATGTTCGTGATCTTCCTTATGGAGTTGGCCAGGTCACCTGAAACACAGAGAGAAGTGTGGTTATATCGCCCTTTCTTGAGGGATGTTGGCGTGTGACTGTAACTGCACTAGTTCAGTTTCAACAGCAATTTTGACGGAGGTACTAACAACCTGATCGGGGATTTATCTAGACCTTCTCAGGTTTGTAGCGACTAACAGTAAAAATTCCCAATTTGAATTCCTGATTTCCCAATTTCTTACAATTTATGACAACGAGAATGTTAAAACAAGTTAAATCTTGAACAAAAACATCTTTTCCAAACATGCTCGACAGAGGTACATGGTCGAAAGTCCCCATTGCTCGTGTTTCCTGTTAATGTTTTGGATTCCATTCTAACCCTATACATTCTACATATAAGACACCCGTCTATTCTATTTCCACAGTGAAAGGGTCCGGGCGCCATTCTTTAAAGACACTGCAATTCGCAATGCAGAGTTGCTTCCCTTTGTGGGATCGAATCTAACATTCGCCTTGATAATATTTTTAGGTTTGTTAGTATCATATCTGAGGGTTTCATTTAAGTTCTGAACGCCCGAGGCCTACCTCCGGCTATATTTCGGACATTAACTTGAGAAGCATTGACATGTGAAACGTGCATGCTTAACGCCATTCATTGTACAATAGATTCAGTGACAGAGTAGCCTTTAACTATTCTGTACACGTAAAGGAAGATACTGGTATTATTTTTCTAATTCAACATCCATTATTCACCATTAAAATCATATATATGTTTTGATACTTGTTTTTCACAAATCAGTATTGTGGGTCCGTATACTGACTGAAAGTGTTCATGTCTCTGTAGACTTGCACAAGTCTCTAAGGTTATAATTAATAGTTTAAATAATAATTTATAAAAGAACTAAAATAACAGAATAGGGTCCTGTCCCGCTATGTAGACTTGCCTCTTTAAAGGATAAAATTACTATACATGCACCCATGAAGATCCGGCTTAGAATTGATCTTCAGTACCCCAGTGACTTGATTGTCTGGTCCTCGATTATTTACAGACCGCTGCCGACCCGTGAAGGCCCGGGTTAGAATGAACCTTCGGTAACCCATGCTTGTCGTAAGAGGCGACTAACGGGATCGGGTGGTCAGGCTCGCTGACTTGGTTGACACAATCATGTCATCTGTTTCCAATTGCGCAGATCGATACTCATGCTGTTGATCACTGGATTGTCTGGTCCAGACTCGATTATTTACAGACCGCCGCCATATAGCTGGAATATTGCCGACTGCAGTGTAAAACTAAACTTCTTCTCCCACTCACATACCGCCGCCATATAGCTGGAATATTTCTGAGTGCTGCATAAAACTAAACTCACTCACTCTACATGCATGGGCTTAGCACACAGTACAGTCTTGGAGCAAGGCTAATGTCTCTGCTGCAGGTAAACCTACCCACTAAGTCCCTTTGAGGGCCGACGTCCATGGCATTCCAGTTGAAGGAGTATTTGGTTGGCCAGTTGCAGAATCCTTCATGATGTTTTGTTGTCAGTACAACATATCTGAAATACAACATGACATTTTTATTGTACAAATGACAAGAAGAAGCCAGGTATATAATATCTGGAGCTCTATGCACACGATTACCGCATTTGGAACGATTCATTATAATTACACCGCTTAGACATGGGTATACATGTACCCATTCAACAGTGCTAAACGTAACTGCTTTTACCCTCATTTGGGAACCACACAACATAAAGAAAGAAAGAAAAAAATGAATGAATGAGTAAATAAATAAATAATACTTGTAGTTAAGGTAACCGGACAGTTCCATGATTAATACTGGTTTTCTCTGCTTTTAGCAGAGATTTTTACATGAATATAGAAAGGTTTTAGTCGCTTTTATTCACATGAAGTGAATGTTCCCCCTGTGAACAATTATCTGAATCAAATCATGACTTCATCGTATCCCCTAATGCCTTGATCGATGCTCTTGCTGTCGATCACTGGATTGTCTTGTCCAGACTTGACTATTTACAGACCGCCGCCATATAGCTGGAATATTGCTGAGTGCCGCCTTAAACAACAAACCAATCATGAGTAACAACAGACCATATCATTGGCTCAGGAAACGAGGACAGAGCATGAAGAGTGACCTCCCTTTACTTGTAAACGTCCATGGCAGTAACTCACGACGAACCTCACAGGTATATTGATTTTGGCGTACAAACAAAATATATTTAACCTGTGTAGGCATCGCGAGGGCTGAAGATAAATATTGTACCTTGAATAAATGTGACAGGCTTCAGAGGGGGTATTAAATATCACACATTAGCCACTGGCTACCGGTAATATATGCTTCATGGCATATCAGTGTTACTCTCCAGCAACCTAATCATGCTAATAGTATCACATGGAGACTGCTACTTGAGCGTCTGTCTACATAGTCTTTATTTGCACTTAAGAGGTCACAGGCCTATAGTACATGTATACTGACTATATTGTTATTAGGCAGTAGAGAGCACATTTCTCTTGTGTAGAAAGGCATGGTATAGGAACATTGACAACTTTTCCAGGTGTTCCTTGCTAGAGTAGGTTAACAGAGATATAAATTTATGAATATCGTGATGTTCAAAGTAATATTTCTTAATATACTTATTATCTGTCAGAGACTATATATCTACGAGTTGTCTTAAAACGTATCAAACGAGCGAAACCAATCACACCAGCCAATGGGATGCTGACACTATTTATAGATTCTACCGATGAACAGGAAATTATTAACTCGTATTCACTCTGTAGTGGGCGGTTGTCAGTAGTAGAAGACACCATCTATTATAAGGTCTCTGGTAACAGCATGTCAACGTCAGTCAATGGTAACTATGGTAACAATCACGGCTGATTCTTAGGACGAAACACTGGGTTTGTTTACAGTGCCTTTGTCATCTTACCTTGCACCTGATGCATTGAACAACAGGGCCCATTGTTGGGGGTTGTAGAATTCAGCTGTGAACTGTGGCGCGAAGTCAGCATAGGTAAAACCTGGTCTGTAGTTGTTCTGCATAAAGTCCACGACGTCTGCTCTTTTATTCAACCAGAAGTCCTGGAACCATGCTCCAACGAAGCTTGGAACAGAGAACACCCCCCAGTGAAGGAAGATGCCAAACTTCGCCTCGTCGTACCAGGCCGGGATGGGCCTCTGGTCCAGTGACTCCCATGTAGGGTCGTAGTGGACACCTGCTGCTAATGTCACAGTCAACAGCGTTAACAACAACAGCCCAGCCATGTTGGCTGATCTTGTACAAGATATCAGGATGTACACTTTGCGTATCTGAATCACATGACTCGCAGCCAGTCACGTGTGCGGTGTCGGTATGGGCGCTTTGTGAAGCTAAACTGGTTTCTCGCTCTCCATCCGCGTCCTTAAATTATATCAAGAGACGGGTGGACGGACGCATCGCATGACTCGTAGCTCGTCTAGCCTTGCTCCAAGGCTGTACTGAAGGCTAAGCCCATGGATGAATAGTAATCCTATCCTTAAAGAGGCAAGTCTAGATAAACGGAAAGTACACCAGTCTGTTAGGCGGAAATTTATATTTTTTTAGAAATATCATTTAAACTATTAATTAATACCTTATAGAGACTTGTGCAAGTCTAAGCTAGTCACGAGTGCGGCTTTATTTAAACTCGATTTGGTCTGGAGATCATATATCATGACACTCAACACTTGTCACATATGAGCAGAGAAGCTTGAAACAGACGCAGCTTCTTCACCGTCAGGGTGAATACAAACACGTTCAGAAATGAAAACCTATGAAAACACATCTTGTGATGTAGAGCGGACAGATAGTCAACTCGTATGAAAATATCCACCTCAAACCTATTCCAAATATTCAGAAATTGTTTGTTTTTCACGGTCGAATACGTTATTCGTGGATAAGGTTATAACGCTGAACTAATCGATTGCCACGTACCAGAGACCATTAACTATTTATAGTCTCAGTATGTAGAAAACGATTTTCGATACAGCTCTCTGTGAACAAAGAATCAGTATGCTACACTGTAAGGAAAAAATATCTAAACATTCTTTCGAATGTCCTTGAATGAATAAATCAAGTAAAAAATAACCATTCAGCGTGATTCAAATTGTTTATAGAAAAATATTCTCAGCTGTCTGGGTTTTACAAAATACAATACCAACGTGATTTGTTTTTCTTAAATATCGTGTTATTCATCATGTGACAAGATTGTCAAGGACAATTATTCCTGCACAAACACTGAAACGAGGACAATACAATCAGGAAACTGGGTTTCTGTATCTATTCATGTTGCTCACCACGTGACAGTCTATACAAGTCATGTGCTTCATTGATCCGGGTTCTTATGTTACACAACAATGGCGAACGGGGTCACATGCGGGTGATCGAGTCACATGGCTGCCTAACAATATCGGCTTAGGTAACCGTAGATAACACATTATGTGATACCGTAGGTTATGTAATAAGTGTCTATTGAGATAGTGGCTACGAGATAATAGAAGTAAGATATATCCTTTGTCTGAGTAGCCATGAGCACACACTGTCAGGCACATCCCTTTCCTTTTATATAGTACTAGGGTAGGGTCTATATACCTATATGTCTTTCTAACGCTGTTTCTAAGCGTGACACGCCCCTGTGCTGTCAGGGCTCGGCTTAATTAATCATTTCGAACCTGCACTGGTGCAACCTTAGACAAGCGAGTAAGTGTGGTTTTACGCTGCTTTTAGCAATATTCCAGAAATTTCACATCAGAAATGGGCTACACACATTGAACCCATGTGGGGAATCGAACCGCGTCTTCAGCGTGACGGGCAGACACTTTATCCACTGGGCTACCCCACCGCCCCTGAAACTAGAACATGCACCCTCATGTTTATACTATCTTGCGCCTAATGCATGTACATATGCCGCTTGTAAAGGAACACAGATTTCAGCCTGGAAACAGAACAGTGAGGGGCTGGCGTGGAACAGCAAGTGTTGTCATGGTGACGCTGCAAAGGGATTGAATAACTGTGACTGATCACAAATGAAACTATAATTTATGTGAAACGGTAAAATGGTCTTATCAGACTGAGAATAATTTTGTTATAATGATGTTCTAAATCATCAATACCAAACACTAATTTTAATTTTATATTGAGCAGCAGGTGCAACATGTTTTTTGTTTGGTACTACAAGGCTATTACCTAGGGTTGCACCGGGTGCAAGTAGGTTTCATTACCATAAATCGAGATATGTACACAGTCCAAGGTTTTCAATGAACAGTTTATTAAATGGACGATGCTTATGATGATACGAATAATTGACACCATTATATTTTTAATAAATAGACAGTGTACCGCTTCCAATGTTACATGAAGATACTCCTTCAACTCAGCTAGGCCTCAACTTGAGGATCATGTACTTAATACTCTAAACCAACAAAGTCGTAGCCTCATGGGTTAAACAGCAAACAAACATGTGTAACGTCTGTCGGGTTACAGGTTTACTTTTCCAAGTCTGTAGTTCAAATCTTTGCAGATAGCTCCGATATCACGTAAGCATAAGACCTGGGTTAGAGTAAGCTCTAACTGAAACCCATAGCATCAATCCCATCAGAACATGAACCAACTGTTAGAATGAGTGAGTTTAGTTTAACGCCGTTTTAGCAATATTCCAGCAATATCACGCCGGGGGACACAAGATATGGGCTTCACACATAGTACCCACGTGGGGAATCGAACCCGGGTCTTCGGCGCGACGAGCGAACGCTTTAACCACTAGGCTAACCCCCGCCCGTCTCCCCCCCCCCCCTTGTCAACTTTATATTAAATTTTTAACATTGTGCCATTTAGTGACTGCACTTTAAATGACTAACATCGATCCATTTTGCCGAACGGTCCTTGATGTATACGGTTAAACTTTAATGTAGAACCCAGATACTAAACTGTGGTAATCTAGACTTGCCAAACATTCTAGACTTGCATGGTCTGTATAAGGTATATTTATTTCAGGGTCTGTATGGCAGAAGGCAATTTACTTTTTTTTTCATTACTCGTTATTGTTACCAGATGGACATGTCTTCACAAAAGATAAGGTGATGGGGTTAAATGTTGAGATTCGAAAAAAAAAGAAGTGTTTAGAAGAGGCAGGAACATATTCTGTTTAATCACAAACCGGGCATGCAGAATGTACTGTGAAAATACTAGTCCTTCACTGCATGTACGTTTAGTCTGAAACTGGTTTCACAAATGGGCTGGGCCCCGTCTCTTGATGTAATAATTTGAGGACGCGCATGGGGAGCGAAACACCTGCTTAACTTCACAAAGCGCCCATACCAACACCGATCACGTGACTAGCTTCGAGTCATGTGATTCAGATAAAACAAGCTCCACATCCTGATATCTTATATGTATACAAGATCAGCCAACATGGCTGGACTGTTGTTGTTTACGCTGTTGACTGTGACATTAGCAGCAGGTGTCCACTACGACCCCACATGGGAGTCACTGAATCAAAGGCCCCTCCCGGCCTGGTACGACGAGGCGAAGTTTGGCATCTTCCTTCACTGGGGGGTGTTCTCTGTTCCAAGCTACGCTGGAGCTTGGTTCCAGGAGTACTGGCGACAAAACAGATCGGACGTTGTGGAGTTTATGAGGGAAAACTACAGACCAGGTTTTACCTATGCTGACTTTGCAGCTCAATTCACAGCTGAATTCTACAACCCCGACGAATGGGCGGAGATATTCAACGCCTCTGGAGCAAGGTGAGATCAATAGCACAAGAAGTAAAATCAACCAAGCAAACATACATTGCTGCAGTAACAGTGTTAATTCAGCATAGCGAAACTTGCCTTTGTCATGATATTTCTGCCATAATACCCAACGGTATGATGACTGTTGACACTACACGGACTCAGATATTAAACCATGGTCAGTCTGAAACGCCTTGGACAAAACAGTGTACGTCAAAACGGCCATTATATTGGCCGGTATTGGCGATAAATACTGCAGTTTTTCATGCTTTTGTAGATTTTAACAGTTACTTAAATCATTGAAAAGATCATATTGAATTTTATTACGCACGTGTTCTGAATATCTGTATGAGATAATGTTGGTTATTTGAAACAGGTGTTATGTAACCAGTTGAAAGTTATCCAACTAGTGTTGTGTAAGCAAACCTGATGTCATAATGCCAAACTTTCTGTTGCCACCTCGACTCTAATGGTGTATTCTCATTTTGCCTGCACTTCGGCTATCAGCGGATTAGGATTACCAGGCCAGTGCTTGCACAATTATAGCCAGTTTGAGTAAGTGATGTTCACTCACCATCAAGAAGTTCACTCACTGACCACACTGACCACAGTTTATAATGATTAGTGAACTCAGTCATTGAAAGTAATCAAATATGACATGAGACATGGGGGTTATAAAGCAACAATTTAATTTATGACAAGTCATTCTACAATGGCAAAGGCATGTGTTCAATTTGTTCCCAATATCTGACTAACTGACTGAGTTTAGTTTTATGCCACTTTTAGCAATATTCCAGCAATATCACGGCGGGGGACACCAGAAATGGGCCCCAATATCTGGAGTGGCCAGAGTTTAATATTCAATGGTTGTAAGTTTAGAGTGAAATCAGAGACCATATGATAGATGTTATATGGTCTTTGGTGAAATCAAGAAGAAACCAAACTGTCCAGTGGAGATGCTGTAAGAAAGGTTGTCTATTTGTTACATACAATGTCAGTAAAATTAAAAATGTCACCATATTTGTCAAATGTTTCATATACGTTTATTTATTGTATTTGCAGGTGTTATATGCAATAAACAAGATGTGATAAACTTCACCGTTTCTCCTTATTTGCATGCGTTTCTAATACAGACTATAGCCTTAAATCCCCATTGTTCTAAGGATTAGTACAGTCCACTGATTTTAATACCTAAACAATACCTGCAGGCAAAAAGAGAATGTTATGGGCCAAGAAAGCGACATTTCAAATTATATAGGTAGAATACAGTGGGACTTTACCGGCCATACTTTTGGTTCAGTGATTTTTAATTCGGGCTTTCCTGGCACTGAGTAAGAACATCAGAGACAAAAGAATTTGAATGATTTAGAATTTTATTGAACCATACCGTGGTTAATATAAATAACACCCCACACTGATAGACATGTTAAGTAGAAAATAATATTGTGATCCTCAACTTGGAAACATCCAGTTGTAGGGATTAATACCGTGTCAACCTGTAATGTATTTTATATAATCGCAACACAGACAATACCACCATTTATAGTATCATCCTCTGTGTCGGATTTGGGTCAAAGGGGGATTACCAAATTGTGTTTATGTATGCAGTCGTGTCCTATATTCTAGAATACAACAGATAGCTGGATAGCCAAGTTTCCGGACAATAGTGAGCGTTCCTGAGTGTGCACAACGTTTTTGGAATGGAAATGATTCGACAAAGCATTTTGTTTGATAACCTGAACCTTTGTATCCTTGAAACCTCCTGTCCGGTAGGAGTGAAACGGTACGCTCTTACCACGGTACGGTACGTATTGCGGTACAAGGCCTTCGGTTCGGTCCGTTTCGGTTCGGTATATGAGTTATGATCATGATGCAGAAAACTGACAACAAGAGCCAAACTTAACATTGTTTATTATCGTGGAAAAAAATAACCATAATCTTTGTTATTTTGAATGAACAAAACTGTCATTTCATGACAAGATAGAACAACTAAAGCATCATTGGAACCTTGGAGCTCACAGCAATGGCAAAATGGCAAGTAGCCAAGTCACTAAAATCACATCAGCATTTACTGCAGTGAAATCACCACGTCCCAGATATATTCATGGTAAAAAAAACCTAAAAACAAACCACAAATAAGATCTTGACGTATGTGACTCTGTTGATGACATATCACAGATACCGGTAAATAAATTAAACAAATTGACTCAACGCAGTTGTCATAAGACAGTTACAGTCATTGTCCTTGCCTCTAAATCATTGTCTATCTCTCATTTCAGTCGGTTAAACATTTAGAGACTTTCCACAGTCCTTGGGAACTACTGCTACACAATCTTGGCACATTCCAGAATTTGTTTTATTCAGTTTTCAGATTCATTCAAAATATCGTTTAAAGTTCATTTTTCCAAATGTATTTCTCCATTCTGAAACAAATTGTTTTAGCTTGAGAAAGCTACTTTCTCTTTTTATTGGTCGTTAAATGTTTATTGATCTGATATAGCTTGCAATGAGATGGTAGCAACAACAAACAAACACAAGCTGTGACAAGGCTTAAGAACTGTGATGGGAAAGCCACCAGATCTATACCCATAATTGCAGTTATCCCTCGCCATAACGCCGGTCTTGGGGGTCTATGGATGACCTCCCGAGTTAAGAGACACCCGCATTATACATAACCCGGAATAAAGACCAAGTAAAAATGTATTATTCAACTAAGCCGGAATTCAAAATCAGCTGTGTACTTATGTTTAGCTCCAATCTACCGGTGATTCAGGTAAAAACGACCTGAAAATATAACATCAAAGGATTTCTATTCCATTACCAGAATAATTTATATCTCCAGCAGTTATTTTAACGGAGGTAATATATATCGCTAAAATACCGCGGTTCTACTAATACCGCGGTATACCGTTTCACCCCTACTGTCTGGTTGCCAGCCAGCCTCTGTACAAATCGTTAAAGACACTATGTCACACCACACTTCTAGAAAACTAAATAATGCATTTCTCTCGATAATACTATCAGCCCTGAGGGAAGCTACCATATACAGGGTTTTATGCGACGCGCAAATGTGCATCCTGTGTGCAGAAATGTAGAGAATGGAAGCAGAAAAAAAATTCACTGCATCTCCGGGGACTCACAATATTATTCACTGTACCCACAATATATCTATGACTTTGCTAAGTGTTTGGTTGTTTCTTTCACAGCAGTTACATGCATCATTTCATCCACCAGTCCAGATGATCAATGAGTCATTTCAGGGTCTAAAGAAATTATCAAATCGTACAGTTCTGTACACTGTTACTTCATAGGACCCTCATATTGCCAGCAAGGACCCTTAAACCTAATAATTAGGGGTCTCAGGGACCCCCATGTTTGTGACTGTGAGTCGAGGTTAACCCCTGCAAATCATTTATTCCCCCCCAAATTATGTATTTAGATTAGAATGTTAAATTAAAAAGTTCAAATGAATTAATGCAATGTTGCGTTAAATGACTTTTGCGCTCTTAACTGGCCGAGCATTTTTTCAAGCGAACCCCATAGAGTTGTGTCCCTTGGAGCTCTCTTTACAAATATCATATGCACAACTTGTGATTGAAACCATTCCGGCAAACACTGACAACACCGCGTGAGGCAGTTTTCGATGTATGGAGCAATTGTTTACATTCCATATATGGCAAGTGTTCTCTGTTTGGAAGTTGTTCGCCTCTCAAGTATCGATTTCAGGCAAGGGGTAATATGTCTTTTATTGCATCCATAGGAAGCTAAAGTGAGTGCATATGCCCCAATATATATAATACATGTATAGGCATAAATATTGTTGAAAATGTGTAACATTATGCCTTTAATGTGTAAGTCGCAGCTCAGTGTTCCTTGCTATTACATAAAAGCGAAACTGAAAGATACCTTGCTCTTATGAAGCATGTTTCTCTAGGAATGTTTATGTTGCCTTCTTTGCACATGCAGTGAAGCATGTATCCAAATAAACGCAAACCTCACCTCATGCTTGGCCAGAGTGTGAGATGGTACAATAATGTAGTATATAAGTAACAATGTTGTGGTATTGCTCAAGTTAGCTCTGCTTTATGCAAACATTATATTTGAGTGAGACTTTCACTAAATTCCCATCCTGGTTGCAGCATATCCGGACACAAGACCAGGTTTTGAGAGGCTGATATGATATAATCCTTTAGACAGATGTCACAATTTGTAGTTATAATCAATTTAGATTTTAATATTCTATTACTTCTCTTGTGAAATTGCAACGCGGTGTTGTCGGTGTGATAGGAAGACAGTAAGGCAGTGTTTTAGCATACTGTGTGTTTTAGAAGTAGGTTTGTTGTGTATGGTTGTAGTTATTATTTATATAACATTATCAATAGGATATGGTTAAAACCACTATACCATCAAAAGTATGTGAGCACTTCTTGTAGTTGTAGAGCTTTGTTTTTTCACCATTAGGGCAGCATGTTTATGTATTTCATGCAGCTTCCATGATCGATAGTTGGGTTGTTCGGTTGGTCTCTTTAACATAACACAAAATAAGAATTTAAAAAATCTTGATTTGTTCATATCTACAAAAATATCTGTAACTTCGATTCTGCTTTAGGTTGCCACTTTAGGAGTGAAGAAAATACCTGTCTTCAAAAACTAATTTCCTTTTGGTATTCAGGAAATACCAATAAACTATACAGCATATTATCCATCTGCTGGCAGATTTTAAATCCATAACACAGACTGCAGTGCAACTAGAAGCAGTAACAAAGAAAAGCAGCAGAGAACATCAAACTAGATTAATCAAAGTTAGATACCTTGGTAAGTAGAGCTGTGACGATATATCGTAGTATCGATAATTGTGATACTTTTTCTGACAATAAATATATCAATACTCTTTTTCGTATCGTGATATGTATCATTGACCTAAAAATTGTGAATTTTCACTTGATATTGACGGTTATGTCAAAATTTACACTGTTTCTTGTTATCAAAATACACCTTTTTAAAGAAAATAACTAAAGATAGCATATCGTGATACGCATCGTATCGAATCGTTTCGTTCCAAGATATTCGCGATACGTATCGTATCGTGAAATTTTTGTATCGTCACACCTCTATTGGTTAGAATGTTTCTTTACTCTTGATGTATCTAAGTGTATTAATTAATGAAATGTATAGAAGGAAGAATGTTAATGATGTTAACATGTCTAGCCCTTAGCCTTTTGGGAAGTTCACTTGTCCTCTACCTACAGCCTTCCTCCCAGCTCTGACACAGGAAGGTAGCAATTAAATAAGCAGTCACTAAGTGCAGGTTCGAAATACAAAACCCAACAAATGTTTTATTTACAGGCTAGTGGCAATGAGAAACACAGAAATAAAAAGTGTAGCCTGATATATGTCTTATGGACACATTCGTTTCTGTCCCTACTTGAAATATCAGTCCATAAAGATGTCCCTAAACAATGGAAAAGGTGGGGCTTAATTTAAATTTCTTGACTGTAATATCCTTACTTAAAACTTATACAGCACGTGAGTTAATTGACATAGTTGCTTTCAAGACTTCAGTGTCTATTTTAGTATGTTTCCTACGTGGACCTATTCTGGTTTATAATTTCAGATATGTTGTACTTACATCCAAGCACCATGAAGGATTCTGCAACTGGAACACCAAACACTCCTTCAACTGGAATTCTATGGATGTTGGACCCAAAAGGGACTTAGTGGGTATGTTGTGTTATTTGTGCAGAGATCCTTGATCTTGGGTATTAATTCAAGCTGGTTGCTATGACGATTGTTAGCCTGGCAGCATTGTGACCATGGCCATGGGTTTCACCAAAATGGTAGATTTCTAAGACCTGTTTGAGCAGTAAGCCTACAGTGATAGAATTGGAAAATGATTTAGGCCTCCTTCAATCCAGCTAACTCAACATAGGTTTTGTTCAAGTTGTCATGTGAATAAGCTTTCATTATTTAAACACACCCAAATCAGATGTCTTTTTAACTTATTAAATATGCTCATTGTATTTATTTCGAAGATACCATATTTCCTCTATTAAACTCACTGGAATATATCAATTTGGCACAGACCTTCAATTTGAAGTGCAAATCTGTATACTGCTGGTCCTGTTGGAACCTTGCCAACACCCAAATTCCATGTAGTAGGAGTTTCAATGCAGTGGGGAAACTGGTGATTGAGAAAACGGATGAGCAGATGTCAGTTAATTAATACTATTATAGTGGCAAACATGTCAGTTTTAGTTGTTTGCTGACAGCAGTAAACATTGTTTCAGGTGACCTGGCCAACTCTATCCGGAAGAAGTCCATTCTCAAGTTTGGTATTTACCACTCACTGTTCGAGTTTGTCAACCCTTACTGGCTCCAGGATCAGAAGAACAAATTCCGCACACAGGACTTTGTCCGGGTGAGCCTTGATATAATGATAACATTTGTTTAGCGTCAAATATTTCATCTTTTCATTTCCGCATTTTTGTCAGAGATTCCGTTTGTCAAAGGAATACACATTAATTACTAACAAGTGTGCACTAAATGAGTCAATGTTCCACACAACATCCAACAATAGTTCACAGACACCCTCTTTTAGGTACACTTTAACACATTTATTATTAAAGATATCATCAATGTAACACCCAGCGTATACTATTCATACTATTCACACTTATTCAAAATTTGGTTTAAATTGTAAGCATGGATGGATCCTAGGTTTGAGTATGTCACTGCATCTTGTGGATCCCATACCTGCTATTGACATGTGTTGTGTATTTGTTAGTTACTTGTTCCATGATTTGCAAAATGGTTGATTGGTGCCATGAAAACCATTTTTATGGCTACTCATGTATCAAGTGCATAAGGTTAGCTTAAAGTGGCTGTTTGCCTAAAGAGGGGTTACCATATTATTATTTATCCAGTTTTAAGTGGATACAATTTCAAATTATAAATCTACGTTTAAGTAAAGTTAAAGTAAGTTTTGTGATCCTTAGCAAGGTGTGAGTAGTATATGTTGGGTGATATTTTAGAGAATATTGTTTCAATCACTGTTTAAGTACATACAATTTAAAGAAGGTGTCAAGACATCCAGCATGTCCACTGTAAACTAATATGAAAAATACCCAACTTTTCTCCTAAAGGAATCATAAAAATTATCCCCCCAAAATCAAGTGTATATTTGAAATAACACATTTTCTGTTTCATTTCAGTTCAAGACCATGCCCGAGTTGTATGAGTTGGTGAATCAGTACGAGCCCGATCTGATATGGTCTGATGGATCCTGGCTGGCGCCGTCGTCCTACTGGAACTCCACACACTTTCTGGCCTGGTTGTACAACGACAGGTAATGTCTGCTTGTTGAATATTATTAAAGATGTTCATGATGTTTGTTACTGTGATAAGGTACAGCGGTGAGGGAGCTTAGTTTTAATCAGCTTTTAGCAATATTTCAGCAATATCACGGCGGGTACCCATGTGTGGATATAGCTGTTTAAAGAGTTCCCAAGATGGTTGGTACACAACACTGATGTGTTCAGTATTGATCATGGCGATTGCTAGGATTTGGTTTGGTTTGGTTGTCATTTAACGCCGCACTCAGGAATATTCCAGCTATATGGCGGCGGTTTGTAAATAATCGAGTATGGACCAGACAATTCAGTGATCAACAGCATGAGCATCGATCTACTCAATTGGGATACGATGACACGTGAAGCCCTTTTCTGTCACCGCCTTTATATTGCTGGTATATTGCCAAAAGCAGTGAAAAACCATTTTCATTCACTGCTTACTGTTGTGGTTCCCACTAACACTTTTACACAATGAATGAACGCAAGAGTGAGAAAATTTACGACGCAGTCCAGCTTAGGCAATGGATGAGCAAGGATCAATGCCGCCCACGATCCAATCAGTCAAATCACAGCTGGGCCATCAGATCCCCGCTTTAGTCGGATCTGATAGATATGAAATACTCAGGACTTAAAGCAATTCCACACCCGTGAAGATCCGGGTTAGAACTGGTCTTCAGCAGCCCATGCTTATCGTAAGAGGCGACTAATGGGATCGGGTGGTCAGGCTCACTGACTTGGTTTACACGTGTCATCGTATCCCAATTATGTAGATCGATGCTCATGCTGTTGATCACTGAATTGTCTGGTCCATACTCGATTATTTACAAACCGCCCCCATATAGCTGGAATATTCCTGAGTGCGGCGTTAAATGACAACCAAACCAAATCCTAGCAATCGCCATGATCAATACTGAACACATCAGTGTTGTGTACCAACCCGTCATGTCACATGCATCTGACTCAGTTGCATGCTGCTGTTCGGTCATTGTCAACACTGTACAGCAAGTAAATTTATATTCTTGAGTTCTTGTGTGATTAGTTACCCTTGGCAGGAATGTACCTATGTGTTGTGTCGATCACACTCACCAGCTGTCGCCCAGATGTGTTATTAGAGTTTGGCTGTGTGTTGGGGTGAGAATCGAAAAATTGATGTGCAAACCAGAGGCCCAGATAAGCTGCGTATCCGGGTAAAATAGGCATAGAAAATTTCCAATTACGCATTGAAAAAATAATTGTTGCGTACCAATTACGCATTTAAAATGTTAGATACGCAAAAAGTTTAAAACAAATGCGTACGGAATATATTTATAAAAATGGATTGCGTAATGAAAAAGACATCGATTGCTATCGTTGTACTGTTAGTATAGGACAAGTGTACTGTCAGTATAGGATGAGTGATTTTTTATGGAATCATTTTGATTAGGTATGACATAAGGCAGAACATACCTGCTTAGTAAACTTACTCATTGACATATACTTAGGTGAGTAAAATGCCTGAAATACGCACATATTTGCAAGCAGTGGGTAACTGAAAATGAAATACCCACTCAACATTCATAATACCCACTCCAAAAACATACAGTGGGTACAGTACCCACATGAGCTAAATCTAATCTGGAGCTCGGGCAAACTGTATGAATTAAAAATGTGCTAGTGTTAGAATATAAGCCTACTTACTTACATACCTAAAAGACTTTTCTCACATTCTCCCTCTACAGCCCCATCAAGGACACTGTGGTGACGAACGACCGCTGGGGAGATGAATGTATGTGTAAGAACGGAGGATACTTCACCTGCCATGATAAGTACAATCCAGGTAGGTTTCACATATGTTTTTTGTTTGTTTTTTGTTAACCACCTGGTCCCGTTAGTCGCCTCTTATGACAAGCATAGGTTGCTGAAGACCAATTCTGAGCAGAATTGTGTTTCATGTGCCGGATTCTCATCCGGATACTCTCACAGGTATCAATCATTGTATGAGGGTCTTGCATAGGGACAGTCATAGATATTTACAGTGTAAAAACTGAAGGGACTGGCTCTATCTGTTTCTCCTGTGTGTTTATCACTTCCAATGCCAGTCAGATATTTTAATGTGAACATTTTTTCTAGGCGTACTACAGAAACACAAGTTTGAGGATGCGACAACTATTGATAAGTATGCATGGGCCTTCCGACGTAACGCCAAGATTGAAGACTTCAACACAGTCTATGAACTTATTACTCAGCTTGTTCAAGTTGTCAGGTACGTCCCTGAAACAATCACAACATCGTTGTGTTATCTATCAGCAGGTCACTGACCATAGTGTTATTCATATTTCATCCTCGATTATCAAGTGTATACGATGACATATACCATGTATACTGAGAGAAACAAATAAGGGATGACCACTTCATTGCTTTGTTCTGTTATTTATTCTCCGATTTTCACTCACATGGCAATACAAAGCTTGTGAAGAAACCTGGAAAAGAATATATGAATACTTCTACTTTCATGTGTTCCTTTATTTTTTTCCCTCAGTATATATGCCTTTGGACCCTGGACACTGGACCCTTACCATCAGCTTTGATTCAGATGCAATGTTACCAAAATGCCCCTAATGAAACCGAGATATATTCCAAATCATGTCCTCATCAGAGTTAAATCTTAATTAGGCTTATGAAACAAACCCGGGAAGTGGTTTTCGAAGGTGCTTGGAGGGGGGAATTCCTTTTTCTACAACACTTTCGTATTGGATCTTTACGGGTGTCCATTAGAAGCATGGGGACTCTAAACCTGACCCAAGTAAACTAGAGATTGATATTATGAGAGACGTCCCACGCCATCAGGGTACGAGCTCACTCTATAAAACAAGTCACCGAGTGTGTTGGCAAGTCTAGATGACTGTAGTTTCAGGCTGAAAATAACGAGTCTCTAGGCTCCTGTTTATTATATTTTGTTAAAAAAAATGAAGAACTGTCATTTTGTGAAATGTGTTCATTTTATGTTAGTCTACATATCTCAGTATTCTACATGTTAACTGCAGTTGTGGTGGTAACTTCCTGCTGAATGCTGGCCCCACGTCCAGCGGTATGATCAACCCAATATTTGCTGAGAGGCTGCTCCAGATTGGCCAATGGCTGAAGCTTAACGGGGACGCCATCTATGGGACTCGACCCTGGACTTCCCAGAACGACACAGCGACACCTGGTGTCTGGTAGGTACATTACATACAGGAAACATGAAATCACCACTGAACAAGTGTTCTCAAATGTGTTTTTAAAAAAATATCAGTAAAACAATCTCTGTCCATTAGTGTTAAATGGTCGACGCCCAAATCCAACGATCAGACGATTTCAACTTTTAATACAATACCTTCATACTGGGTTGTTCAACATCTCATTTCTGATGTCCCCAGTCGTTATATTGCTAACATGTTGCTATATACAACGTAAAACCCAACTTTTTCACGCACCTTTAACTTTACCCTGTCTTTTGACGGCTTGTTACTCAAGTACACACGGGCGGATCGAGAGGTGGGGTGCAGGATTTCTCCAAAATCCTGGATCCACCCTTGTGCCATAAATCTGTCTCCGTTGTGTTCAGGTTGGGAATTTCGCCCACTATCTTGGTGTGCCAGCAAATTAACTTTTCGCCTTGCTGCTATTACAATCTACACATCTTTGGCCTTGCCTCTCACATTGAAATGACTGCCGCGATATGACTGAAAGCTCGAACAAAAGGTAGAAATACCCACAGCGTTCTCATATCCATTTGTCCATAACAAGAAAGGATATTTGTTTTTGTTGTTTGCTTATTGTCTATGTGAATGATTGAGGCAGACAATCAAGTGATCAACAGCATGAACACTGATTTACGCAATTGGGATACGATCACGTGTCAACCAAGTTAGCGAGCCTGACCACCTTGTAACTGGTGCTTACGACAAGCTTGGGTTACTGAAGACCATTTCTAACCCAGGTCTAACCCAGATATTTTTAATAAACTATGACTCTAAGGTGAGGTGCAAGCTTGTCTGAGGATTTACCAAGTCTTCCAGCACTTATTCTCTGTGTTCTTCACATACAGGTACACATCCAAGAAGTCAGCAACCGGTATTACTGTGTACGCCATCACTCTCCACTGGCCAAGGGGAGATAAGCTGGAGCTAGGTGCCCCACAAGCGGGTCCCGCCACCAAAGTAACGTTGCTGGGATACCCAGGATACTTTAACTTCCAAGCTGGCGCCACATCAGGAATGACAGTGATGATTCCAACAATACCATTTAATCGTATGCCTTGCGAGTGGGCCTGGGTTTTCAAGCTTGATAATCTCAAAAACCAATAGAATGCCTTATGTATACTTAATATGCATTTGTTTAGCGGGTTCTCATTGTGATTTTATGGTTTAGATATATTTTTTAACATGTTTTTTATTCCTTGTGTATCCTGTTTTGGATCAGATGGTCTGTGTTTGGATATATTGTATTTTTGTACATACGTGGTTGAATACTAATTTTTTGCTTTTAAATTACTTGCTTTGAAAGAATTTATCATTCATACTTTTATGGAATCCATGTTACTGAACAAACATTTTTAAAGTGGAACAAGGGTATCAAAGAGTGGAACAAACGTAACCCGAGAGTTGTCACAGGGAGACGCACAGACTGTTAAGGGGAGGTAATTGCGGGAACTCTTCAGTATGATGTGTAAAACTCAGGCAACCATATGTTCTGGTGTTGTCATTGTTACAGAATATCAAACGAAGCATTCTTTTTTATATTTTACTCTGTTTTTTGAAGATTTGAATTTTACCAAAAATGTAACAGTGAGAAATCAGATCATTTTTATAGAAAATGCTCAAGAAATCAAATGCTGTATAGAGATGTCATTTGAGTATGAACTATACATGTAGATATTTATATATATGAGGAATTACATTCCAGGGAGCAGCGCCAGTTGTGTGTCGGAATTCTTTGTGAGCCTGAGACCTGCCATGGTCCACTGGTCATAGGGTGGAACTCTAAATTTTCCCAACTACTGGTCGTTGGCATGATGTCAGTCATACCTGGTTGCTGGTCATGGGGATGATCTCTGTCATACCTGGTTGCTGGTTGTGGCGATGATCTCTGTCATACCTGGTTGCTGGTCATGATCACCTGGTTGCTGGTCATACCTGGTTGCTGGTCATGGGGATGATCTCTGTCATACCTGGTTGCTGGTCGTTGGCATGATGTCAGTCATACCTGGTTGCTGGTCATGGGGATGATCTCTGTCATACCTGGTTGCTGGTCATGGGGATGATCTCAGTCATACCTGGTTGCTGGTCATGGGGATGATCTCTGTCATACCTGGTTGCTGGTCATGGGGATGATCTCTGTCATACCTGGTTGCTGGTCGTTGGCATGATGTCAGTCATACCTGGTTGCTGGTCATGGGGATGATCTCGGTCATACCTGGTTGCTGGTCATGGGGATGATCTCTGTCATACCTGGTTACTGGTTGTGGCGATGATCTCTGTCATGGTTATACCTGGTTGCTGATCTCGGTCATACCTGGTTGCTGGTCATGGGGATGATCTCGGTCATACCTGGTTGCTGGTTGTGGCGATGATCTCGGTCATACCTGGTTGCTGGTCATGGGGATGATCTCGGTCATACCTGGTTGCTGGTCATTGGGATGATCTCAGTCATACCTGGTTGCTGGTCATGGGGATGATCTCAGTCATACCTGGTTGCTGGTCGTTGGGATGATCTCGGTCATACCTGGTTGCTGGTCGTTGGCATGATGTCAGTCATACCTGGTTGATGGTCATGGGGATGATCTCGGTCATACCTGGTTGCTGGTCATGGGGATGATCATGGGGATGATCTCTGTCATACCTGGTTGATGGTCATGGGGATGATCTCTGTCATAGCTGGTTATTGGTCATGGGGATGATCTCGGTCATACCTGGTTGCTGGTTGTGGCGATGATCTCTGTCATACCTGGTTACTGGTTGTGGCGATGATCTCTGTCATACCTGGTTACTGGTTGTGGATCTCGGTCATACCTGGTTGCTGGTCATGATCTCGGTCATACCTGGTTACTGGTTGTGGGGATGATCTTGGTCATACCTGGTTACTGGTTGTGGAAATGATCTCTGTCATACCTGATTACTGGTAGTGGGATGAACTCAGATATCTCCACACTTTTCAAGTATTTCAGTAGATACCCCTCAAAAGGGTGAGCATCTTTCCAGATTAAGGTGATGCCATAAGGTCATCGAGACACCTAATGGAATGCAGAGTGAACTCCCTCACCATTACATTCCTCACACTATATTGGGGGAGATTTGCCATATTGTTGCCAGAATGAAATAAACCGATGGATTACACAAACTCTCTGTGTTGACTTATTTGAACTGTAGGCTGGGTGGCGGATTTGTAGTTTTGATGTTTATCCTTTCATTCATACATAAAACATACTTCGCAGACGTATGAGACAAATGACACTTTCCAGCTACTTTGCTTGTCCACAATATTTTTCATCCATCTTAATGTATTGTTACCTTGTATTTGAATATTAATTAATCATAGGGCAACTTATATAACCCTCAGGGGCGGTGGGGTAGCCTAGCGGTTAAAGCGTTTCAATCTTCCACGGACATTCTTAATTACTGCCTTTAACACTGATTCCATCAAAACCATCCTCTAACTCTCACTGCAATGGGATAAACATTTGAAACGAAACAGAGTCTCCATCTACCTTGGGAAGTACTGAAATCCAGCCTCAGCCATCTAGCTGACATTCCAGCATTTTTGTTAGTCCAGTTTCTAAATTTTGAATCGAGAACTTTCAAAGAGTTTTCTTGAATGGAAGTCGCGAAATTGAAACAGGGACCGTTATGGCATTCGCAACCAATTCATGTTCTTGACAGCGCACGCCAATTACTGACACATTTTTTTGTGTGTGACTGGATCACCTCTAAACACAAACGGACATAGCTGAAAGATTTGTGGACACATTAGACTACCTCCAACGCGGTCGAACCGCCTCCGTGGTGTAGTGGTTAGAGCGTCCCCCCGGAGAGCGGAAGGTCGCGGGTTCGATCCCCGGCCGCGTCATACCAAAAGACGTTAAAATATGGTACTTGTTGGTCCCTGCCTGGCGCTCGGCATTAATGGGTACAACAAGGACTGGTCAGCTCGGAGTCAGTATAATGTGTCTGAGTTGGGTATTCATGCTTCACTGCGGTATGGTATCTCAGTGGGCTAGCACTATAAAACCAGCTTCAGTCTGGGCTAGTACAAGCAGCCGCACATACACATACACACGCAAGCACGTCGACATGTGAGCGAAATATTCTCAAGCACGACGTTAAACCCAATTTCGCCCCACCTCACCTCCAACGCGGTCGCGTACCGATCCATCGAATTTCTGATTTCAAAGTAGTAAAATGCATTCGACGGATGAGCACTGTGATCTTAGCTGTTAATTAGTTATCAAAACATTGGATCATACCAAAAAAGTGACACAAGGGGTGTTGGATGGTTTGACTCTCTTTATTTTTGCACTTTTGTACCTATCTTTGCCTTCTCATATGGGCAGAATTTTTATTTTTTGTGTTTCTCATCGCCCGACCGACCCTAATTATATTGCCGACCAAAAATAAAAAAAAAACCTTTTTTAATTTCAACACCGCCGAATCGAACCTAGAACGTACCGACTGGTCATCTAAAATATTACCACACACAAAAAAGTTATGACCCTTGACAACAGACCGACCATGATGTCTGCTACTTGCATAGCAAACGAAAACGAAAACAAACATCTGGTCTATTTTGCAATTGAAGTATCACCTTCATATCCCTTTTAATGTGGGAGCAGTGTCATCTATATTTGATAACCTTTTAAATTTTATGAACCTATAAACTCGTTCAAGCACAATATATTTGTGTTAGATATAGAGATTACTAAACGAATGTCTGTCAGATACCGTTTATCTTACGAGTTGTTTCAAAACGTATTTTACGAGCGAAAGCGAGTTAAATACGTTTTGAAACAACGAGTTGTAAGATAATTGGTATCTGACAGACACGAGTAATGTAATCTGTTTCTTGCCATACAAGCCGACCCCTTAATTAATGAACTTAGACTCTCCCAGTGTGTTAACACGGTCTGAAATTCGACCGATCAGCACTGAAGCATGATTCGACGGATCGTCACTGCTGACTGTTCAAAATTCGACGGATTAGGCCGTAACCCTCCAACGCATATCTATCACACAAATGACATAAATTGCAGACGGCAATGAAAATAATTGGATCTCAGCCGGCGGATCCGTGTGTGTGTGTGTGTGTGTGTGTGTGTGTGTGTGTGTGTGTGCGTGTGTGTGTATGTGGACCCGTGAAGGTCCAATGCTTGTAAGAGGAGACTAAGGGGTGGGTGGTCAGGCTCGCTGACGTGGTTCACTCATGTCATCGGTTCCCAATTGCGCAGATCGATGCTCATGCTGTTGATCACTGGATTGTCTGGTCCAGACTCGATTATATACATACCGCCATCATATAGCTGGAATATTGCTGAGTGCGGGGTAAAACTAAACTCACTCACTGTCTGTCTGTTATTCTGTCTGTCCATCTGTCTGTCTGTGTCTCCCACGGTCGGCCCTGCAGATCTCATTTTCCCCACAAGTAGGAGTCTAGAAGATGATCCTTGAGAGACAATGTCTTCAACTTGCCATATCTGCTCAATCTTCGGTAATGAAAAGGTGACGAATTAATTCAGTATTTCTCAAATTAAAATGACATATCTTTCAGAGATAGGTTACTTGTTTTTGCATTGTGAATTATAAGTCAACAAAACACAAAGACGTATACATGAATGGAGAAAATGGAATCAAGGTTTGTCAAATTGTGACCTGGGTTAGCTTAGGGACCGTTCATAATTTACGGCTAGGGGGGGTGATGATGATTTTTATGGAGAAGCATGTACAATGTGAATGACCCCCAACCCCTAAAATATATGTACAAAATAAGTGAACCCCCCTGCATGTCATGTACAAAATCAATGACCCCCCTCCCCTTCCCATAATGTCTCAGCATCATTTTATACATATTTTTATGTACAAAATTGCTCCCCAATACATGTGTATAAAATTGATGACTCCCCAGAACAAGATGGGTGCCCCCAAAGTACATGTGTACAAAATTGATGACTCCCCAGACACAATCATCATCATCTATAGCTAGCCATAAATTATGAACGGTCCCTTAGGTCTCTGCTGTCTTGAATGCGAAGCGATTGTCATTGCCTGTTTTCTCCCAATTACATTTATCCATGTGAGAAACAGCTTTCCATCTTAATCAAAGATACAATCATATTGTCTCAGAGAGATCTTTCGAACAGTTGGGAATAATTATTCAGTGTGATGTTGGTCCGATTTTTAAAAATGCTCAGTTTTTTCTGTGTACATGGTGAACAAGCTCGAAGTCATAGACCCCTAGAAACATTGCCTAACTAGGATTAACAGATTTAAGCATTAATACCATTCTCCGTGTATAATTAGTTGGTGAAACAACCCATGATTAGGGGTGAAACAGCCTCTAATACGGGATGAATTGACCCAGTTTGGAACTGGGATGAAATGACCCGAGTGAAACTACTTTGGGGTGAAACGACCCGAGTGACACTACTTGAGGTGAAACGACCTGGACCCCTTGCTGAACACCACGCGTGAGAATGTCGCTTGTGAATATATACTGAGGGGAAAACATAAGGGATCACATGAAAGCACAAGTGTTCCTTTATTTTTTTCCAGGTTTCTTCACAAGCTTTGTATCGCATATTTTTTCCCTCAGTATATCTTTGGTTATCTCAGCTGTATGTGTCTAGTTTTTCATGTAAAATTACAGCAGGACAATGTTGCTGAACCATGGTCACTTTCCAAACGACATAACACCCTGGCATGGTCTATGCAGCAGGCCAAGAAGGACTAATATTAACGTTTTCATATTTATATAGACGTGTTTAACAGTTAATCTCGTCATCACCTGGATGTATTGGGTATTCACTCCGCCATGTGGCGTATTTCCACCAGTAGACGGGTTCTATTCATCTGTGGAACCTTGAACACCGTCTTAACATGCAGTTATAACAGTTCAACTACAAGGTATACGCCCCATCAAAAGTTTAGACTCACTAGTGTAAATGTAACCACTTATTTCAGTCAACTGTTCTAATCTAGATTTTGCAAAATAGTCCGTACTGTTTAAAGGTACTGCTTACACATACACTGATGTATTGTAAAACAAATTCGTAACGTTGAAAAGATTAATGTCAAGAGTTCAATAAATTATGAAACACATTGAAAGTTGGCGAATTCCTAACCAAACTTTACACCAAAACGAAGATGTTTGCATGCACGATATTTGCACGTGCTTTTCAGCAAATTTGATGCATGATCCTCGTGAAATTCATCTGCATAATGTTCGATGTAACCGTACACACACACACACACACACGCACGCACGCACGCACGCACGCACACACACACAAACACACAACATATAGTGAGTGCATTAAGTGAGTCTAAACTTTTGATGGGTAGTATATTTGTAATTTTATGGAAATCGTAGGGTTTGTGCACGAACGCATTTTATCAGTCATGACTTAAGCCGATAATTAAATTGTTTGATCACACGGTCACGCTCGCTGACATTGGAATGCTAGTTTGAAAAATTAAATTGTTTGATCACACGGTCACGCTCGCTGACATTGGAATGCTAGTTTGAATAGCTAGGTTTGAGGTGGATACTTTCTGTCTGCTCTACATCACAAGATGAATGTGTATTCATGGGTTTTATATATGAACGTCGTCGTATTCACAGGGGTAACCTCCAAAAACTTAGACCGCCATATCTTAGACAGCTTAAACCGACAGCACTTCTGGTTCAGTGCACAACTAATCCTCAAGCTGATACCTATTTCTTATAGTGGATCAGTCCAGTAGAATCAGTTAGACAAAACGTTATGTTCATTCAGCATAATATTAAATATTAAATATGGTACTATGTTGATCATGTCCACTGCATTTCTACAACATTTCCTAAAATATAATATTTGTACATAACATAACATTTAATTTGCACATAACATGTAATGCTTACTGGTCATCATCACGACATCCTTGGCACATTAAGCACAGCACTTATCTGATCCAAAATTTCCCTAACCAAGATGAAGCAAATGCAAGGAACTGCAAGTGTGTTTTCTCGGCTTGCTGAAGTTGCCGCTTGAGTCTTTCCACTCTGTTGTCAATCTCGCGGTAGATTCTCTCTTTGCTGGGTGGGGCTACTCCGAAAGTTAACTGCGACAGCTTAGCTCTATCAGCATTCTCTATTCTCCTGATATCTGACATTAATGTAATATAGCCCAAGTCTTTACTGAATAAACAATCGAATCGAATCGAATCGAACTCATCGGGACCACTAATTAGGACTGTTCCATTTCAGCCATAGGTGTTGTCCTATTTAATCCCCATCATTAGTGTCTAAGTTATGGCTGTCTAAGTTTTGGGAGATAACCTTCACGGGCACCCTGACAATGAATAAACAGCATTTGCTTCCCCGCTCAACTGTGACAAGTGTTAAGTCACGTGATAATGATCTCCAGACTAAATCGGGTTTTGCATAAGCTGCACATATGACTAGCTTCAAGTCCTGTGTCAACATTCGTTAACAGAACGTACAGCCTGATATCTAATATATACTGGATCAGCCAACATGGCTGGGCTGTTGTTGTTTACGCTGTTGACAGTGACTCTAGCGGCAGGTGCCCGCTACGACCCCACATGGGAGTCACTGGACCAGAGGCCCCTCCCTGCCTGGTACGACGAGGCGAAGTTTGGCATCTTCCTTCACTGGGGGGTGTTCTCTGTTCCAAGCTTCGCTGGAGCTTGGTTCCAGGAGTACTGGCGACAAAACAGAGCGGACGTTGTGGAGTTTATGAAGAAAAACTACAGACCCGATTTTACCTATGCTGATTTTGCAGCTCAATTCACAGCTGAATTCTACAACCCCGACGAATGGGCGGAGATATTCAACGCCTCTGGAGCAAGGTGAGATCGCTATATATAGCGCATGCGTTAATTGACCCAACCAATCATACACGCCTCCAGTGGTTATTATTAGTAACAGTGCTGTTTCATTCCGAGCACAGACCATATTGATATTATATATTTGGGGTGTAACTCTCAATTGTAGCTGTGTTGACGGTATCAGTTCTCGTATATCTAATAGTAGTAACTCGACCTGTATCGGATTTGTGGACTCAGATCAGTGGTGTTGGCCGTTGTGATGACTTTTTTCCCTGTTCCGGCTTTATGGCCGCTGTCACGTGATTACCTTATCAAGAAACTCGCATTGCAAGGAACGATAACTTGTAAAAATCATTTCTACATACCCTGGTTGAAGCAATCTGTGAGATTGACTTGTTTGTTAAGATTGGCCATGCTTTTGTCAAATGCTGACAGTATGAGTGAGTGAGTATCTTTACGCCGCTTTTAGCAAAATTCCAGCAATATCAGGGCGTGAGAAACCATAAATGGGCTTCACACATTGTACCCATGTGAGGAATCGAACCGGGTCTTCAGCGTGATGAGCCAACGCTTTAACCATTACGGCCCTTGATGGTATTACCTCATCAGCTGTTAATGTTTAATTATAGAGATGTTCCGAACAGCAACTTAATCCTCAACCGTCTAGTTTTCCGGGACGGGGTTCCGTTTCATTCATATAAATTATACTTTCAGCATACATTTAAATCAACATGGATTTCACTCGAGCATAAACTACTCTATGTCAAACTAACCAAAGTAAAGAAGCACAATGAAATAGATCAGGACAAACCTTTATGGATGAACAACTTCTTTATTCAGGTGACGCGACGTGTCGATAACGATGACAACGATACAAGAATCTGAATCGAAACGTCGCATCACCTGAATAAAGAAGCTGTTCATCCATAAAAGGTTTCCTCATCTGTCTCTCCAACTTAAAAAAATGCGACTCAAAGAAGTCATAATGAAATAGTGGTATTAGTATTTAAATTATATGCATAAAGCTTCCGTTAGTCGTCTAACTATCTAAAAACGCAGTGGGGTAGCCTAAATGGTTTAAAGCGTTGAGAATATTTCGCTGATAGACCGGGTTGCGTGTGTATCCCTACATGTGTATGTGTATGTGCGGCTGAAGCCCATTTGGTTTGGTAGTCCCCGCCGTGATGTTGCATGCCGCAGTGAAGCATAAAATCGGCGTAAACACATTATACTGACTCCGAGTCGACCAGTCCTTGTTGTACCCATTAATGCCGAGCGCCAGGCAGGGACCAAACGCACATAGACATTTGTCGGTGTGGTATAACCATTCCATCGCTACGATTCAACGCATTCAATACTATTAGAATCTTCTTTCTTCATTCGCTCTAACGAAAATACACAGCTGAACATATGCCATATATAACTAGATACATCATGCATACCCGGCTGACAGTATCTCTTTGCTGAACTGGGCCTAGATTTTTTGAAGCTCTCTTAGCGCTAAGATAGTCGTAAGTGCCATACATTTACATTAACTTACTACTATCTTAGAGAGCTTCGAAAATCTAGGCCCAGAAATGAACTTACTATTTAACAAGCGTGTAGTTTCACCACTGTGGGGCGGTGGGGTAGCCTAATGGTTAAAGCGTTGGCTCTTAACGCCGAAGACCCGGTTCGATTCCCCACATGGGTAAATGCGTAAAGCTCATTTCCGGTGTTTCCCCGCCGTTATATTGCTACAATATTGCTAAAAGCGGCGTAAAACGATGCTCACTCATTTTCACCACTGTATTCGCCACCGACTGAGGTAATTATTCATACATTGATAGCCACAGAAGGACATACCTAGTGAATGGTCTTTGTTGATTCCCAAATTGAAGGTTAACTAAAAGTCGGTACATACAGAACTAAACTGTATTGAATTGATAACACATACACAAACTTCAATATTTCGAAATAATTACGTAGTTTGGGAGACAATAATCCCCAATCACCAGGTGTGTGCTTACTTTAATACGTCAGTTTACATTACATGTAAAGAAGGTGCCAAACTCTGGGACGAGGTTAGGTCACAAACATCCATTCAGGCCACTCTATTGCACGAGGGGCGGTAACGTAGCCTAATGGTTAAAGCGTTGGCTCGTCACGCCGAAGACCCGGGTTCGAATCCCAACATGGGTACAATGTGTGAAGCCCATTTCTGGTGTCCCCCGCCGATGATGTTGCTGGAATATTGCTAAAAGCGGCGTAAAACCAAACTCAGTCAGTCAGTCTATATCAGTCTACCGTCAGAATATCGCCACGCACAGTATTCAAATTACTGTTACTTACAATCACCAGAAATATACATATATTATACACTACATATGTATATAAGAATAGTAAGTTTTTTTTAAGATTATAATGGATATAAGATTTTTTGAACAGATCTTACAAAGTTATAGAAGAATAGTGTTTTTAAGAGGAAGCATGGATAAAACTGTTCAATTGTGTACGACGTCTCTACATTGTTGTTTATATGTAATTAAGAGAGGAATACATTTCTTTAGATTTCGGTGTCGAGACTATGATATATAACTGTATGGTGAGTTGGATAGTGAGACTCACCATACAGTTAATTATCATAGTCTCCAGATAAGGTCCGTATCGGCGTATGTACGGATATAAAATAAGCACGATACGGTAGGAAATAATTTAGAAAACGTAGCAGATACGCACCACAGCAATGGTGTACGGTCTTAGAATCATTTACAGACGTATTTATCTGAAAAAGTATTGTTTTATTGTTTATTGACCTGTTTACACAAGACTAGCAATGTTGTGGTGCATATATGAAACAAAACACAAGATTACTGATACTCCTGTAATTCCATTCAGTACTCTAAATGTACTCTTATTGTTTTCCAGTACTCCTATATTGAAAAAATAAGGAGTACGTACTCCTGATCATGAAACATTATCTGGAGCCCTATGGTCATCTTACAAGGCTGACCATGTTTTGGGTAGTAATTGTGTTGTTTTTATTAGCTGGAATATTGCTGAGTGCGGCATAAAACTAAACTCACTCACTCATTTATTCATAAAAATATGGCGAATCGACTAATTTGTAGTTTCGAACTTCCTACATGTGTTATACTTCAAGCGGAAGTGTTGTATTTGCCATTGATCGCCTGTCTCACAGTCCCTGAACCACATTATTTTCTCTACTGTCAAGTTCTCCTGCAATGCTCTATAGGTCTGTCTCACAGTCCCTGAACCACATTATTTTCTCTACTGTCAAGTTCTCCTGCAATGCTCTATAGGTCTGTCTCACAGTCCCTGAACCACATTATTTTCTCTACTGTCAAGTTCTCCTGCAATGCTCTATAGGTCTGTCTCACAGTCCCTGAACCACATTATTTTCTCTACTGTCAAGTTCTCCTGCAATGCTCTATAGGTCTGTCTCACAGTCCCTGAACCACATTATTTTCTCTACTGCCTAGTCCTCCTGCAATGCTCTATAGGTCTGTCTCACAGTCCCTGAACCACATTATTTTCTCTACTGCCTAGTTTTCTACTGCCTAGTCCTCCTGCAATGCTCTATAGGTCTGTCTCACAGTCCCTGAACCACATTATTTTCTCTACTGCCTAGTCCTCCTGCAATGCTCTATAGTTCTGTCTCACAGTCCCTGAACCACATTATTTTCTCTACTGCCTAGTCCTCCTGCAATGCTCTATAGTTCTGTCTCACAGTCCCTGAACCACATTATTTTCTCTACTGCCTAGTCCTCCTGCAATGCTCTATAGGTCTGTCTCACAGTCCCTGAACCACATTATTTTCTCTACTGCCTAGTCCTCCTGCAATGCTCTATAGGTCTGTCTCACAGTCCCTGAACCACATTATTTTCTCTACTGCCAAGTTCTCCTGCAATGTTAAAGCCCTAAATGAAGCAAGTCTAGATTTCATCAGGTTCTGAATTTCCCATCTCACTGGGGCTCCTTTTCAATTTAAATGGGTTTATTTGTTACTATCAAAAACATATATATTCAGAGACTAAGCGGTTGTCTATTAACATTGCCTGAATCTGTTAGTGTGCAAAGTGTGTATCATTTATGTAAAATGTTTCAGATATGTTGTGCTGACAACAAAGCACCATGAAGGATTCTGCAACTGGCCAACCAAACACTCCTTCAACTGGAATGCCATGGATGTTGGCCCTCACAGGGACTTAGTGGGTAGGTACAGAGTTGCGTCCCTTGGCTGTGCATCATCAATTGAACTTTGGTTCGAATCCTGAGAACCGCTTCAGTTATGATTCTTGTTTTGCTAGCAGTAATGAACTGACTATTTGAATACTTGTTCGTATGTCAGCAAACACAGATACAAGAATAGAATATAAGATGCCATTTATGCTACACAAGTCTTTTATACTATTATACCAAAGGTAAGAGTGGGTAATAGCAGAGTGCTATGCCTTTGCAAGACTCGATCAGATTATGATTTCTTGGTTTGGTAGCAGCAATGAATTGAAGCATTGTGACATATTTGTTCGACCTTTACCAATCATCCAATACAAAATGTCATTGTGGATAATTATTTAATGCTACACGTTTTTTGTTTGTATGTTTGCTTGTTGTTTAACGCCGCACTCAGCAATATTCCAGCTATATGGCAGCGGTCTGTAAATAATCGGATTTGGACCAGACAATCCAGTGATCAACATCATGAACGTCGATCTACGCAATTAGGATACGATGGCATGTGTCAACCAAGTCAGCGAGCCTGACCACTCGATCCCATTAGTCGCCTCTCACGACAAGCATGGGTTGCTGAAGATCAATGCAAACCCGTATCTTCATGGGGCTAATGCTACACGACTCTAGTACAGACTTGTTATCAGAGGTACACACAATCGTTTCTTCAGCAATAAGTAAGGACACATGTCAGATTCATAATATACACAACCGCCTTGTTAACCTTTACCCTTTGTTGTGCATCATCTGTTCCAGGTGACCTGGCCAAATCCATTCGGAAGAAGACGACCATCAAGTTTGGTCTTTACCACTCACTGTTCGAGTTTGTCAATCCCATCTTTCTTCAAGATAAGAAGAACGGTTTCAAAACACAAGACTTTGTTAAGGTACGTCAAGCGTACTTTAATTTTATTCCTAGTTTACAATTTGTAACAAAAAACATTTTCTTTTTCAAAATGCTTGATATGAAACGCTTCACCAGACATTTATGGGAAACTAGTCATTTGGTATGCATAACAGAGTGTTCACTTTCTGAGATGTTTCGGTTTGTTTCTTGTTGCCCCTTAACGCCAAGGATCTAGTGGTTAGGCTTCATGGTTGGGTGTTGGGCGGTGGGCCGAAGACCCGGGTTCGAATCGTCATATGGGTACAATGTGTGCAGCCCATTTGCTAAAACCGGCGTAAAACTGAATGCACTCACTCATGATTGGATGTCATGGTACCCAGGCACGTGGTCATAATATCAACCACTGGTTACGCTGATGATTTCAGGCAGCTGTGATGAATCTGAAAATGTTGCTGATTGTGGAGACAAACCTGTAAACGTACAAACTCACTTGTGTGAAAAAACAGAAGTAAGGAACACCCAGTAGTGACATATATTGACAAGGGGAGTGCATTGATTCATTAAACTTGTCTTCCAGTACAAGACAATGCCCGAGTTATATGAGCTAGTGAACCTGTACAAGCCGGACATTGTTTGGTCTGACGGGGATTTGGGTGCGTCATATACCTACTGGAACTCTACAGAGTTCCTCGCCTGGCTGTATAACGACAGGTGGGTCTTTATCTAGAGTGAAGACAGAGGAAGAGAGAAATCACAGGGAATTGCAAATATTGAAGAAAAAGGAAATTACAGTTATTTTTATACATTGATATGGTCTGGCATAGCAACGCCCATGACATTCTGTGACAACAACACCCATGACATTCTGTGACAACAACACCCATGACATTCTGTCACAACATCCATGACATTCTGTGACAACACCCATGACATTCTGTGACAACAACACCCATGACATTCTGTGACAACAACACCCATGACATTCTGTCACACAACACCCATGACATTCTGTGACAACAACACCCATGACATTCTGTGACAACAACACCCATGACATTCTGTGACAACAACACCCATGACATTCTGTCACAACATCCATGACATTCTGTGACAACACCCATGACATTCTGTCACAACATCCATGACATTCTGTCACAACGCCCATGACATTCTGTCACAACAACACGTGACAACACCTGTGACAACATCCATGACATTCATGACATTCTGTGACAACATCCATCAACACCCATGACATTTCTGTCACATGGCATTCTGTGACACAACAACACCCATGACATTCTGTCACAACATCCATGACATTCTGTGACAACACCCATGACATTCTGTCACAACATCCATCACATTCTGTGACAACACCCATGACATTCTGTCACAACAACACCCATGCCATTATGTGACAACAATACCCATGACATTCTGTCACATGGCATTCTGTGACAACATCACCCACGACTTTCTGTCACAACAACACCCATAACATTCTGTGACAACAACACCCACGACGCTCTGTGACAGCAACACCCATGACACTCCTTGACAGCAACACCCATGACATTCTGTCACAACAACACCCATGACATTCTGTGACAACACCCATGACATTCTGTGACAACAACACCAATGACATTCTGTGACAACAACACTCATGACATTCTGTGACAACAACACCCATGCCATTATGTGACAACAACACCCATGCCATTATGTGACAACAACACCCATGACATTCTGTGACAACATCCATGACATTCTGTGACAGCACAGCATCCTGACAGACACTCCCTCATGTTCCAGCCCAGTAAAGGACACCGTGGTGACGAACGACCGCTGGGGAAAAGGCACGGCATGCAAACATGGCGGGTTCTACACTTGCACTGACAGGTACAACCCAGGTACGTGTATACCCGTGATGATCCGAGTTCGAATTGATCTTCCGCAAACCATGCTTGTCGTAAAAGGAAAATGGGATCGGCTGGTCAGGCTCACTGGCTTGGTTGACACATGTCATCGTATCCCAATTGTATAGCTCGATGCTTATGATGTTGATCATTGGATTGTCTGGTCCAGACTTGATTATTTACAGACCACCGCCATATAGCTGAAATATTGCTGAGTGCGGCGTTAAACAACAAACAAACAAACAAACAAACCTGGTACTTGTAGCACATCTATTTAGTGCTCATTTACAAAATGATTAATTTTGAAAGAGTTTGATATTCTGTCATGCGATACTTATCATCAGAACGATAAAGGAGTAGTTGTTGATCCTTGTGGGCAACAGACGCCGAATATTCAGTCCTTACAACTAAAAGGCCTGACTTTGTGACTAGGGCTGTTTGGTATTATCGACCCATGAGTGAGTGAGTGAGTTTAGTTTTACGCCGCTTTTAGCAATATTCCAGCAATATCACAGCGGGGGACACCAGAAATGACATTGTACCCATGTGGGGAATCGAACCAGGGATGACGAGCGAATGCTGTATTTAATCACTAGACTAGAACATCTACGTGTAATTACAGAAATATCATTACTGACCCAATATTTATTCATGGGCGACTGCTGTTGTACTGAACATTGTCAAAATGGACAGGAGTGGCACAGAAGCATAAGTTTGAAGATGCTACCACTATCCACAAGACGCACTGGGGATTCATCAGGAACGCCAAGCTGAGTGACTTCCACACCATTGAGGAACTCCTTACTGAGCTCGTCACAGTTGTCAGGTACATGTAATTATTTCAATAAATAATGAATGAGTGATTGTTCGGGTAGGCATCAGAATCAGATTAAAGGACTCGGCTCCAAACTTCCCCAGTCTCCTCGCTATTCTAACCCCGGAAACCCTGTGTGGATATATGCGTATAATCGTGGAATCTCTACTTGTATATATATATGTCTGTAAGTGTAAACACAGATGTGTGTGTGTGTGTGTATGTGTGTGAGTGTGGAATCACTACTTGTATATATATGTGTGTGTGAGTGTGGAATCACTACTTGTATATATATATATGTGTGAGTGTGGAATCACTACTTGTATATATATATTATTATTATTATTATGCTAGCATTTGTATAGCGCCGATATCCAGCTCAGCTCAGCTGCTCAAAGGCGCTTTGTTTTTCCCTCGTTCACTGGATGTCAATCTCAACGGCACATCGTATTGTCAATCTCAACTCCCTGGGGAGCATACAACTCTTGCAGCCTACTAGGCGCACCGAGTTAGTGTGGCATTCCCATCCTTACGAGGTACCCATTTTTACAGCTGGGTGGACCTGCACACAAAGTTGACTCCAAGGTTTTTACACCCGGTCACAGGTGGGCTCGATCCCGGCACCTGAATCTCGCTGGATCACTAGCCTGGCGCTTTAGCCAGTTCGCCCACCGCGCCCCCAGCGTGGAATCTCTATTTGAATATATATGTATGTGAGTGTGGAATCACTACTTGTATATATATGTGTGTGAGTGTGGACACACTTCTTATATATGCACGTATGTGGAAGCGGAATCACTACTTGTATAGATGTGAGTGTGAGTGTTGAATCTCTATTTGTATATGTGTACGTGTGTGAGTGTGGAATATCTGCTTGTATATATGTGTGTGAGTGTGGAATTTCTACATGTATATGTGTGTGTGTGGAATTCCTACTCGTATATATGTGTGTGAGTGTGGATTTACTACTTGTATATTTATGTGTGTGAGTGTGGAATTCCAACTTGTATTTATGTGAGTGAGTGTGGAATCACTACTTGTATATGGATGTGTGTGAATGTGGAATTACTACTTGTATGTATATGTGTGTGAGTGTGGAATCCCTACTTGTATATATACGTGTGTGAGTGTGGAATCTCTACTTGTATATATACGTGTGTGTGAGTGTGGAATCTCTAGTTGTATATATATGTTTGTGTGAGTGTGGAATCTCTAGTTGTATATATATGCGTGTGTGAGTGTGGAATCTCTACTTGTATATATGTGTGTGTGTGTGTGAGAGTGTGAGAGTGTGGACTATCTGCTTGTATATATGTGTGTGAGTGTGGAATTTCTACATGTATATGTGTGTGTGTGGAATTCCTACTCGTATATATGTGTGTGAGTGTGGATTTACTACTTGTATATTTATGTGTGTGAGTGTGGAATTCCAACTTGTATTTATGTGAGTGAGTGTGGAATCACTACTTGTATATGGATGTGTGTGTGATGTGGAATCTACTACTTGTATGTGGAATCTCTACTTGTATATGTGTGTGAGTGTGTGAATCCCTACTTGTATATATATACGTGTGTGAGTGTGGAATCTCTACTTGTATATATATATATATGTGTATATATGTGTGGAATGAGTGTGGATATATCTAGTTGTGTGTGTGAGTGGATATATGTTGTGTGTGAGTGTGGAATCTCTACTTGTATATATATGTGTGTGTGAGTGTGGAATCTCTACTTGTATATATATGTGTGTGTGTGAGTGTGGAATCTCTACTTGTATATATATATATATGTGTATGTGGATATATCTATTGTATATATATATGTGTGTGTGTGAGTGTGGAATCTCTACTTGTATATATGTGTGTGTGTGAGTGTGGAATCTCTACTTGTATATATATATGTGTGTGAGAGTGTGGAATCTCTACTTGTATATATATGTGTGTGTGTGAGTGTGGAATCCCTACTTGTATATATATATGTGTGTGAGAGTGTGGAATCTCTACTTGTATATATGTGTGTGTGTGAGTGTGGAATCTCTACTTGTATATATATGTGTGTGTGAGTGTGGAATCTCTACTTGTATATATATATGTGTGTGTGAGTGTGGAATCTCTACTTGTATATATATGTGTGTGTGTGAGTGTGGAATCTCTACTTGTATATATATGTGTGTGTGAGTGTGGAATCTCTACTTGTATATATACGTGTGTGTGAGTGTGGAATCTCTACTTGTATATATACGTGTGTGTGAGTGTGGAATCTCTACTTGTGTGTGTGAATCTCTACTTTGTATATATACGTGTGTGTGTAGTGTGGAATCTCTATTGTGTGCTTGTATATATATGTGTACTTGTATATATATGTGTGTGAGTGTGGAATCTCTACTTGTATATATATGTATGTGTGTGTGAGTGAGTGTGGAAATCTCTACTTGTATATATGTATGTGTGAGTGCGGACTCTCTACTTGTATATATACGTGTGTGTGAGTGTGGAATCTCTACTTGTATATATATGTGTGTGAGTGTGGAATCTCTACTTGTATATATATGTGTGTGTGAGTGTGGAATCTCTACTTGTATATATATATATGTGTGAGTGTGGAATCTCTACTTGTATATATATATGTGTGTGAGTGTGGAATCTCTACTTGTATATATATATGTGTGTGAGTGTGGAATCTCTACTTGTATATATATATGTGTGTGAGTGTGGAATCTCTACTTGTATATATATGTGTGTGAGTGTGGAATCTCTACTTGTATATATATATGTGTGTGAGTGTGGAATCTCTACTTGTATATATATATGTGTGTGAGTGTGGAATCTCTACTTGTATATATATGTGTGTGTGAGTGTGGAATCTCTACTTGTATATATATATGTGTGTGAGTGTGGAATCTCTACTTGTATATATATATGTGTGTGAGTGTGGAATCCTCAAGTGGATATATATATGTGTGTGAGTGTGGAATCCTCAAGTGGATATATATGTGTTTGAGTCCGGAATCCCTACTTGTTTATATGTGTGTGAGTGTGGAATATTGTATATGTTATAGTCAATGTGTAAAATTAGTCGATTTATTTGCCAGATTGGTTGAAAGACAGTTTCAATGTGTATTATCATTATTAGTGTATAAAAACTTAACTTTTAGATAAATGCCTAAGACACAGACACATCTTTATTGACAGAAAACAGTAATATCTAGCTTGAGCTGTCTCAGTTTCTGTAGGCTCGGTGGTTGAAGGCTCATCATGGGTAGAAGGCTGCTCACTGTTGTCTGTCGGGGTTGAGGCTGGGGCTTGGTCTGAAACTGGACATGCCTGATAGGCCACTTGCAGGTCATCTTCAGTCACAAGTCTCTCAAGGATCTCATTTGGAAGAGATGTTGCTCGAAGACCAACTTTGGCATCGTTACCAAACAGCGCCTTGAACGGAAGACACTGTTCTTCTGAAACTGGACAAACCTCAGTCCAGTCGGCCAATCAGTGGAGTCATTGTCTCCCATCCATGCAACCAGCATGTCTTTGATGCCACAGTTCAATCGCTCTACACAACCCTGGTTTTGGGGGTGCCGAGGTTTGCCATGCACCATCAACAAGGCCACATTGACTTGAGTTCAGTGATGACCTTTGCAGTGACCTCACTTCCGTTGTCAGAATCTGGATGCAGCAAACATCAAGAAAATGGCCAGGCTACTTCAGTCGGCTACTACTTTGGTTGATTATGTTGATTTTGATCATCTTACCTGGCTTCCTATAACAATCAGCTGCAATCACAATGGCTGAGGATGATAAACATGACTTAATTAACCTATTGTTTCAATTCATACTAAAACCATTGAAACTGACTTACAGTCAATCTGTCAAAAACAATTCAGGCAATTTGTAAACTGACGGAGTGAATCAGGCCATTTACAAATTGACTGATTTTACACATTGACTGAAACATATATACGTATGAAATCCCTACTTGTATGTAGGGGTGGAATCCATACTTGTATCCATGTAAGTATGGGATCCCTACTTGTATATACGTGTGTGCATGAGTATGGAATCCCCACCCGGATATATATGTGTGTGAGTGTGAATCCCTACGTGGATGTATTTGAATTGATGTGAGCCCGGCTCACCATCACATCCTAAAGCCATGGAGCCTGTCTGTCAATTTAGGTGAGGTGAGGTGAAATTGGGTTTAACGTAGTGCTTGAGAGTATTTCGCTCATATGACGACGTGCATGCGTGTGTATGTGTATGTGCGGCTGCTTCTACTAGCCCAGACTTAAGCTGGTTTTATAGTGCTAGCCCACTGAGATACCATGCCGCAGTGAAGCATGAATACCCCACTCAGACACATTATACTGACTCCGAGCCGACCAGTCCTTGTTGTACCCATTAATGCCGAGCGCCAGGCAGGGACCAACAAGTACCATATTTTAACGTCTTTTGGTATGACACGGTCGGGGATCGAACCCCCGACCTTCTGCTCTCCGGGCGGACGCTCTAACCACTTTAGTCGCTTGGTAATGATGGACCCCAGTCGCTTGGTAATATTCAGAATGATTCGTGACTGACTGTGGTCAACAGAATGATGCGTGACTGACTGTGGTCCACAGAATGATGCGTGACTGACTGTGGTCCACAGAATGATGCGTGACTGACTGTCGTCCGCAGAATGATGCGTGACTGACTGTCGTCCGCAGAATGATGCGTGACTGACCACAGAATGATGCCTGTGAATGATGCGTGACTGACTGTCGTCCACAGAATGATGCGTGACTGACTGTCGTCCACAGAATGAACTGACTGTCGTCCACAGAATGATGCGTGACTGACTGTCGTCCACAGAATGATGCGTGACTGACTGTCGTCCGCAGAATGATGCGTGACTGACTGTCGTCCAGAGAATGATGCGTGACTGACTGTCGTCCACAGAATGATGCGTGACTGATGCTGTCGTCCACAGAATGATGCGTGACTGACTGTCGTCCACAGAATGATGCGTGACTGACTGTCGTCCACAGAATGATGCGTGACTGACTGTCGTGATGCGTGACTGTCGTCCACAGAATGATGCGTGACTGACTGTCGTCCACAGAATGATGCGTGATGACTGTGACTGACTGACAGAATGATGTCGTCCGCAGAATGATGCGTGACTGACTGTCGTCCGCAGAATGATGCGTGACTGACTGTCGTCCGCAGAATGATGCGTGACTGACTGTCGTCCACAGAATGATGCGTGACTGACTGACGAATGATGCGTGACTGACTGTCGTCCACAGAATGATGCGTGACTGACTGTCGTCCACAGAATGATGCGTGACTGACTGTCGTCCACAGAATGATGCGTGACTGACTGTCGTCCACAGAATGATGCGTGACTGACTGTCGTCCGCAGAATGATGCGTGACTGACTGTCGTCCACAGAATGATGCGTGACTGACTGTCGTCCACAGAATGATGCGTGACTGACTGTCGTCCACAGAATGATGCGTGACTGACTGTGCGTCCACAGAATGATGCGTGACTGACTGTCGTCCCACAGAATGATGCGTGACTGACTCGTCACAGAATGATGCGTGACTGACTGACAGAATGATGCGTCCTGTCGTCCACAGAATGATGCGTGACTGACTGTCGTCCACAGAATGATGCGTGACTGACTGTCCTGACTGTCGTCCACAGAATGATGCGTGACTGACTGTCGTCCACAGAATGATGCGTGACTGACTGTCGTCCACAGAATGATGCGTGACTGTCGTCCACAGAATGATGCGTGACTGACTGTCGTCCACAGAATGATGCGTGACTGACTGTCGTCCACAGAATGATGCGTGACTGACTGTCGTCCACAGAATGATGCGTGACTGACTGTCCACAGAATGATGCCTGTCGTCCACAGAATGATGCGTGACTGACTGTCGTCCACAGAATGATGCGTGACTGACTGTCGTCCACAGAATGATGCGTGACTGACTGTCGTCCACAGAATGATGCGTGACTGACTGTCGTCCACAGAATGATGCGTGACTGACTGTCGTCCACAGAATGATGCGTGACTGACTGTCGTCCACAGAATGATGCGTGACTGACTGTCGTCCACAGAATGATGCGTGACTGACTGTCGTCCACAGAATGATGCGTGACTGACTGTCGTCCACAGAATGATGCGTGACTGACTGTCGTCCACAGAATGATGCGTGACTGACTGTCGTCCATGTATATTCATCACCGTTTAAACCTGAAACAAATCATTTAGAGTAGTGTTTAAGTGAACCATACGTGACACGTTCCTGGTATGCCACGTGGAACGTGTGATTTGATAAATGTGGATGACAATCATAGTTGAGGACACAGATAAGGGTATTGACGACATGTATTTGTTTGCCTACCTCTGTCTGATCAGCACAATAACTGATAATGTTCCTGAATTATGTTATCATTTTGACCCTATGACCAAGTTTACAATACTGGAGCACTGACCATTAGTTTGTAATATTCTGTTTCCTCTACGCCTAATCCTTGATTTGTAACGGGTTGAAATATTTGCAAGATCTTGTCGTTTTCCCCGTTTTAATTGTAGAGACACATGTCACATAACAAACCCAAAACAAGGCGAGAGCGACAGACCCATTTTGTTAGTGTGTTATTTTACGCCGCACTCAGCAATATTCCAGCTATATGGCAGTGGTCTGTAAATAATCGAGTCTGGACCAGACAATCCAGTAATCAAAAGCATGAGCATTGATCCACGCAAGTGTCATACGATGACACGTGTCAGACATGGGTTGCTGAAGATCAATTCTAACACGGGTCGACAGAGGTGGCTTAGTGGTAAATTGACCCTTGAAGATCCGGGGTAGAATAGGTCTTCAGCAACCCATGTGCTTGCCATAAAAGGCGACTATGCTTGTCGTAAGAAGCGACTAACGGGATCGGGTGGTCAAGAGTGATGATCCGAGTTCGAATTGATCTTCCGCAAACCATGCTTGTCGTAAAAGGAAAATTGGATCGGCTGGTCAGGCTCACTGGCTTGGTTGACACATGTCATCGGTTCCCAATTGCGCAGATCGATGCTCATGCTGTTGATCAGAGGATTGTCTGGTCCAGACTTGATTATTTACAGACCGCCGCCATATAGCTGGGATATTGCTGAGTGCGGCGTAAAACTAAACTCACTCACTCACTAGTGGTAAATTATTCGCTCGCCTGGTTGGTGCGACAGTTTGTTCGCTCTTTTTGTTCTTTATGTGTGATATTGTGAACACTAGTTCGGGGTAACCCTCTTAAAATCCTATTACCACCAAAAACATAAGACGTAATGTTATGATACCTAAGGTTATTTTGTTGACAGTTGTGGTGGAAACTTTCTGCTGAATGCTGGGCCCACCCGTGACGGAATTATCAGTCCAATATTTGAAGAGAGGTTCCGTCAGATTGGACAATGGCTGAAGGTTAATGGAGACGCTATCTATAAGACCCGACCCTGGACTTCCCAGAATGACACAGCGACCCCTGGTGTCTGGTATGTATATTACATACAAGTTCCTCCTATCTACGTACATAAGTGACCTACTTACGGACCATATTCTCACGTGTCTTGTCCTTGACATACTAAACATATAAGATATCTAAGCTATTTTATCATTAATTTAATCATTTAACGAGGTTAAAAATAGTTAATGAGGATTGTTATAAAACAAGAATCAAACACAATTGACCATATATTTCAATGAAAAACTCTAGTACCAAACAACATGATAAACCTAGCACAGCATCGACAGGAAGGGTTGAGGAAATAAAGTCGCGAGGCCGTATTTTGTGGGTGTAATTCAAATATGTCACAATGTTTCTTTCATGGGTCCACTTTCATAGAAGTGGGTTGGTGAGGTAAAATTTAACTAGCCATATTTCAGCAATGTTGTGTGGTTGCCTAGAATATAGGTAGACTATCATCTAGTCTCTGAAACGAACATATTTTAAAGACAAAATACCCGTTCATAACTTATAGTCATAAAATACAGTGAAAAGGAGCCCAGAGACTCTCTTAATGAAACTGTGGTAATCTAGACTTACTACGTTTCTAGACTTGCATGGGCTTTCTTGGTTATATTTGTTTCGGGTCCGTACGCCAGACTGAGAACTTAGGTTGAACGAACATATGATATTCACAAGCGTAACGTATCGACATTATTTTCTTTCTTACAATTAAAAGCCATTACGACTATTGGTGAATTATTATTATTCTAACTGAAATGCCCAAGAAAACTCAAGATTGGCGTGAACTCTGTTTCAGCCACGTTGTAAACTGACGTACCAAAGAAAGTATACACCGGATGTTATGGTAATTTTTTCCCCTAAAAACAGCGTAATATTTAGAAAAGTGTTTTGATTGTGACTCACAAACATTGTGTACGTGTTGCAATAATACCATAGATATCGTTTCCAACTGGAACATTGCTAGCAAAATATTTACGTTTTTTAATAGTCTCAAAACACCAGGTGTGTTCTTTCTTTTGTACATCAGTATACTTTCGTAGGCACAGAGGCTTATTTGCGAAACGGTTATCATTTTAACTGAAAGCTGTGAAGTACTGAAGAGTTGTTAACTCTGTTTTATCACCTCTATACTTTCGTAGGTACACTACCAAGAAGTCTGCCACCGGCATTTCCGTGTACGCCATCGTTCTCCGCTGGCCAAGGGGTGATAAGCTGGAGCTCGCTGCCCCACAACCGGGTCCTGCCACCACAGTGACGTTGCTAGGATACCCAGGACGCTTTGGATTCAAGGCTGGCGCCACATCAGGAATGGCAATCATGATTCCAGCAATTCCAGCCGATCGTATGCCTTGTCAGTGGGCCTGGGTCTTCAGACTTGATAATCTCAGAAACCAATAGAATACCTTTTACATACAACATGTATCATTTATTAGTTCCAACTGTTTGTTTGTTGTTTAACCCACACTCAGAGATATTGCAGCTATCTGGCGGCAGTCTGTAGCAGGACACAGATAAGGGTATAGACGCCATATATGTATTTGCCTACCTCTGTGTGATCAGTACAATAACAGATAATGTTCCTGAATTATGTTATCAGTTTGGCCCTTTGACCAAGTTTACAATACTGGAGCACTGACCGTTAGCTTGTAATATTCTCTGTTTCTTCTCTACACCCGAACCTTCAAATGTAACGGTATTTGCAAGATCTTGTCCTTTTTCCCGTTTTAATTGTAAACACACATAGTACACATGTCTATGACCAACCCAAAACTAGGCGAGAGCGACAGGCCCACTTGTTTGGTTTGTTGTATAACGCCACACTCAGCAATATCCCAGATTTATAGCTGCGGTCTGTAGATAATCAAGTCTTCACACGACAACCCAGTGATCAACATCTTTTGTAACGGGTTGAAATATTTACAAGATCTTATCCATTTCACAGTTGAATGGCAAGGCCATCTATGGCCGACAAGTGAGTAGGATTGCCGATGATTTTGGAGAAAATGCCTGCTTACTGTCGAGGAAATGATTTGTAGATGTTGCAGTAAGTTTGTAGACCCGTGGAATGCCGCCACCAACGTGGCTGGAATTAATAAACGAATTTAAAAGGCGAGTTTTCGCTGACTTGGGTGATCCATGATTTTGGCTTGGAATGGCAGAGGTAGCTGTTTTCGGTGAGTCAAGGCGTATAACTTTTGAAATAATGATCTGATTGTGACCATTTATAGCTCATTTTGTAGGGAAATCATCTCGCTTTCGATCCGTCGGCCTCGATGGGGCCTTAAAAATAGTTTACGTGCTGAAATCTAACTTTGATTGAGGAGGGTGGTTCCGTCGTTACATCCCTTTCCTTTTATATAGTACTAGGGCAGGGTCCATATACCTATATGTCTTTCTAACGCTGTTTCTAAGCGTGACACGCCCCAGTGGTCCATTTACCCCATTCTAATTGTAAAGACACATGCCACATAACCAACCCAAAACAAGGCGAGAGCGACAGCATGAGCATCGATCTACGCAATTGGGATACGATGACATGTGTCAACCAAGTCAGCGAGTCTGACCACCCGATCCCGTTAGTCGCTCTTACGACAAGCATGGGTTGCTGTAGACCAATTCTAACCCGGATCCTCCCGGTAGGGAGTTCCCATTGTGATTTTTTTGTTCGTTATTTTTAACATGTTTTGTATCCTTATAAATCGTATTCTGGGCCAGACAAAATCTATTTTTATACATACATTATTAAATACTTGTAAATTATTATTTTTGTGCTAAAATAAATATTAAACATTTGTGCATCTCGCTTTAATGGGACCTAACATTTGCTACACTAAGAATCTCAAACTGTTATTTTTGTGTTAAAATAAATATTAAACATTTGTGCATCTCGCTTTAATGGGACCTAACATTTGCTACACTAAGAATCTCAAACTGTTATTTTTGTGCTAAAATAAATATTAAACATTTGTGCATCTCACTTTAATGGTACCCATACCATTTGCTTCACTAAGAATCTCAAACTGTTATTTTTGTGCTAAAATAAATATTAAACATTTGTGCATCTCACTTTAATGGGACCCATACCATTTGCTTCACTACGAATCTCAAACTGGAATCAATTTCATGGACACGATTTACAGGATACACAGGTAATCGCAGAACTCCAGTATTCAGAGGAGTGAAACTCAGGGTACCATATGTTTGGTAATGAAATTCTTTGTGTTTCTCTTTGTTTTAAGAAAAAAGCAGAGTTCCTTGTCGTGGGTTTGATCATGAGGTATTTCGGTAGAAACCCCCTAGAAGAATGAATACATGGCGGGGTTCATTGTCATGGGTTTGAACTTGAGGAACACGCGCCAGGGTCTATTACATTCCTAAACATTTTTGGAAGATGCATATGTAACTTAATCTTGTCACTTTGAAATAAACCGATGGATTAAAGAAACCCCTGTGTCGTGTCATATGAACATATGAGCTGTTTGCTGGTTAGCGGTGTCGGATGTTGACGGACTTGCTTGAAATGTTGACATGTAATTTAATAAATACACCAAACATATGACCTCCTACTACTACATTCATAGTCAACAACATCAGTCCGCCTTCATTCGTTGTAATCGTGGATTATATGATGCTATTCTTAGAAACAGGAAGGAAAGGACCCAAAGGCAACTGAAACTAGAATATTCAGTGTATTCAATTGGTTAACTATAAGGATGGTATTTGCTGTCGCTCTTGATGACATAGACTAACGCTTAGTCTCTAAATATATATAATTTCGACAGAAACAAATAATCCTTTTAAACTTAAAGGAGCCCTTATTGGATGGGAGATTGTGTACCTTACCAAATCTAGACTTGTTTCATTTAGATCTTTAGCAGCCCAGAAGGAGTTGGGTGAATGGGAAAATAGGACGTATCGGGGACTGTGAGAAAGTGTATTGCTGACATTGACCCAAGTAAACTGAAATTATTGGAAATAGCGTCTGGATGTCACCAATATTGGATATAAAGGTTGGATTGAAGATTTCTATGTTACATGCACTAATCTGTTTTAAGTTGAATAGTAATGTTTCACTGGATTCTTCATTGAAGGACATATGAAACAAGTTTTAGCTTGCTATTCCTATACGATGTAGCACAATGAATCTTTGTATATAGAGAGCCGTAACGAAGTCCATGCGTAGCAATCGGTTGTGTTAGAGTTATAACTGCATCCTAGAATAACGCATTCCATTGTGAATGTTTTTGGTTTTGGCATGCTATCACTTGCTTGGCAACGACATTAGAATCTATGTCGAAACGTCGCCTAAACAATAAAGAAATTGTATATCCAGTCCTCATTCTTCATCTACCCAACTTCTAGAATGCCAATCAAAGAAGTCATGCAATCAGGTGTTATCTTCATAGGAGTTGCCTAGCTGTTATCTATATATGTGTACTCAATGCACTTCGCTTTTAAAGGTCTTTGTAGTCATTGGCTATGTATACACATGTAACAGCACCTTCCCTTCAATCCTTCAAACGTCACTGCTCATGCGTCGTTATGACCGCCATATATAAGCACGTAACAGCATCATCTCCTTCAAACGTCTCTGCTCTTGCATGACAAGCGTCGAGCCTCGTGACACATTGATAAGACTGAATCTGGTTTGCATTAGACACACTGAAGCAGCATGGCTGGGTTGTTGTTGTTTACGCTGTTGACTGTGACTCTAGTGGCAGGTGCCCGCTACGACCCCACATGGGAGTCACTGGACCAGAGGCCCCTCCCGGCCTGGTACGACGAGGCCAAGTTTGGCATCTTTCTGCACTGGGGGGTGTTCTCTGTTCCAAGCTTCGCTGGAGCCTGGCTCCAGGAGTATTGGCGAGAGAACCGATCGGACGTTATTGAGTTTATGAAGGACAACTACAGACCAGGTTATACCTATGCTGATTTTGCAGCTCAATTCACAGCTGAATTCTACAACCCAGACGAATGGGCGGAGATAGTCAATGCCTCGGGAGCAAGGTGAGATTACTAGCTCCA